TTTCAACATCAAAATTTAGATAGGTAGAATAAAAAAAAAAATATATATTTAATATTATAAGAAAGATAAATATATATTTATTTTTTTATTTAAATTGTAAGATGGAATAAAGTGTAATAATTGTTTAATGTTACAAAGTATGTGACATATCAAAATAAAAAATATTACTATGTAGCAGAATCAGTATATGATATTTAATTAGTAAATGTTTATTGAATATATATTTTTCCTCATAATTTTTCCGGTAAATGAAATCCTTAAAAAAATTCTTAATTTTTTCCTCCAAACAACTAACTAATCATATCCGATATTATGAACCCTAAAAAGTTTTTTTTTTATTTATTTTTTTATTTCTTAACAGTAATAAACAAAATAATTTTATTATTTGTAATTAAAAATATGCACAAATCTTTTGACACAAATTTTGATATGGGTGTATATTTTTGATTATTTTTTACTTGTTTTTTATAATATAAAATACAAAAAGTCATACTCCCTCCGTCCCAAACACTGTGCAACATTTCTTTTTTGATATGTCTCAAACACCCTGCAACATTTTCAAAATATGAAACAATTAATTATATTTAATCTCTACCCCACATTTTATCTCATCACATCACCCAAATAAAATAATAAAATATACATTTCTCTCTCTGTCACATCACCTAATTTCTAAATTATCCTATTTAATACTACCCACCTAAAAAAATCTATGCCCAAAACAAATGTTGCACCTTATTTGGGACAGAGGGAGTATTATTTTTTAGTAAGAAAGAAAGTAAAAATATTTTTTTATGACAAACTAAGATTTAGATCAAAATATAAAGTATATTGGTAATCCCACTATTTACATATGTAATTTAAAAAATTTATCTTTTATTGAGAATATTTTTTAATCAGATTATATATATATATTGTCAACTTTTCAAAATTTTAAAACTCGTCTGTTCGTAGGTTTTAGTTTTTGGGTTTGAACTTTTAAATAATAAAAAGTTAAATTTGAATAGTTATTTGATATGATATAAATAAAAGTTGATGTGATGTTTTGAATATAAAATAAATGTATAATATAATATAAAAAATATATAATTATTTGATATGATATTTTTTAAAAAATAAAATTAAAATAATAAAAACTTGTGGTAAAACCACATAAGAACACAAAAAATTCTAGATTTTTACAACAAAATCATTAAAATATCCCCAAAAAAAAAAAAATAATTTGAGAAAAATGTAAGAGTGATGTTTGATTATTCATTAAAAAATGAAAATTAAAATACATATATCAATAAATAAACTAATATGATCAATTTCAATTTCATTTTTAAATTTTATATTAAGAAAGGGTCTATTTGTCCATAGCTTTTTTGATATAATTTTCAATATATTTTACTTTTTTTACAAAAGTCAATATTTATATTAAATAAACAAATCCAAAAGCTTGTTTCGAATATTTTCGTTATTAAATATCTCAAGTTTAAAAAATTTTATACTCGTTCCGTCATTTAAGTGTGAGTTCAACTATTTGGATACAAATTTTAATAAGAATAGGTAATAATTGTTATTTTTTGTCTACTAATAATAACATAAAAAAAAAAAATTTAAAAAAAATTACTTTTTTTACTAAGAAGTTTGCTCTATTTTTTACTAATACTATGTTTTTGTTTGGAATATACAGTAAAGTTTTGAATTGAAATTATTGTTAAGGTAATATAAATACGCAGGTAGTATGATATTTTGAATAAAATAAATAAATTTTGACGTAACATAAAAATGAAAAATAAACTTTGATTTGATATTTTTGAGGAAAAAAAATATATATATTGATCAGTAAAAATATGTATTTTAAAACGCAAACATCAAACTTAAAATTTTTTAAATTACAATAAATAATAATAATAATAATAATAATAATAATAATAATAATGATATAGATATAAATTTTCCATTTTTTTATTTATAGCTTGTGTTATTCCCAATACATTAATTGGGTAATGCAATTTATAGCTTTTCAACATGTTTGTCCTTGATATATATAATGATAAAAGACAAAAAAATCCTATGTAAATATATATATATATATTTAAATTTAGAACCTATCATATTAAAAATAATACTTCTCCCGTCATGCAATTGTATATTCATTTGATCCGGCATGAGTTTTAATAAAAATAAGTAATGGTTATTATTTTTGTATTAAAAAATACAAAAGTATAACAATGTTCTACTTAAAATAATAAAAATATTTATTATAACAACACAGAAAAAAAAAAAATTGAATAAAAATTCAAATAATGAGAGATTAACAAAATAATTAAGATAGATGTAATAGTCCAAAGGGATTTTTGTGATATATATATATATATATATTTTTAATTTCTAATTATTAAAAAATAAAATGTGATTGAAGAATCCAGTAAGATCTTTTGGTCATTGCACCAATCAATATATGAAAAGATCTGAATTACATCATCACTTAATTTTACATTTATCATTTTTGTCTCAATCACTATATATATATGCATAGTCAATAATTCAGTCATTTTCAATTTAAATTTTCCTTTTGTATTTTTATATATTTTAAATTATTTCGAAATAGTAAAAACTAATAATTGAAAAATAATAATATATAATATTACAAAAAAAATAAAAGTAAAATTGGTTTGAAATATTTTAAATAGTATGTATATATATCTAGATACACAGTTGATACATTATACTTTACTTTCTGTGTTTGCAAAAAAAAAATATTATTTTATTATTTTTATTTTTATATATCAATATTATATCCAATTAAAACAAAATAGCAAAAAGTCTTTACAAACACAAATTACACACCAACGATCATTAAAAATATATTTAAGAAATAATATTATTGTATTAATTAGTATGAGTGTATAAAAAAAAATTGATATTTTTGTCATTTGACTCATATAAATTAATTATATATTTGTAATTTAACTAAAAAATTAATGATATCTTAATATTAGTATATGATTAATATTACTAAAATAAAAAAATAGATACTTTTGAATGAAACGACAAAAATGGTAAAAATAATACTTTAAATTAAAAAGAATGAAATATTTTTTTACTCCATTTGGTCCATTTGAAAGGGGTCTTTTGTAATTTGTAGTAAATTAAGAAATAATAATATTTTATTGATTTTTTTGAAATTTAACTTTATGGATAAATTAATTGTACGTTTAATGATATATTTGTAATTTAAGTCAAAATTAAAGGTATTTTAGTATTAATGTATCATTACTTTTTCAAAAATAATAAAAAAAGATAAATACTTTGAAGTAAAATAATATATATATAGTAAAAATAATACCTTAAAATGAGAAAAAAAAAAATAAAAAAATCCCTCCGTCTCAATACAATAGTCTTGTTTACCATTTTTGTTCGTTCCAAAATAATAGTCTCATTTTCATAAATAACCATATCACCATAAAACTATCCTTATTTTTTCATTATTATTACATAATTATTACTATTTTTTACACTGATATACTCACAATAGCAAAAAAGTCATTTATCTTTACTTTTTATCAACTATCAATATAATATTAATATTTTATAAATTTCGTACTCAACACGACAAGACTATACTTTTGGGACGGAGTAGTAATATTTATAAAAATTGTGCCATAAAAATTTTGAGGGAACAAAACCCAAAATAAAAATGGAAAGAGGAGTAAATTATGAAGTTTGTCTAATATGGGAATCCGACAAAATCCGAATTAATCGGGCAGAGGTTTGGAATTTATTGCAATCATTGACCTACTCATAACTACCATTCTATTCTCCCAAGTAAATTAATTAATTTTTATAAATAAATATTACACCAGATTTAATTAATTTATTTTTAACCTGCCTTTGAAATTTCATCTCAATAAAGACAACTTGTGCTCACTCCAATCATTGGCATTTTTATATTTATATTTATATTTATATTTATTGAATTATTAAATAAAGTAAGGCCTAAGTTAGTGGGCTTTGGCCTAATGATACAAATTATTTAATTAAAATAAATAATAATATTGTGAAATTCGAGGCCCAATTTTTTGTAATTTCAAGTCATTTATACTTTTTATGGAATAAAATATGGTACTATATATTTTATGTAGAATGAAATGGGTAAAAAATTATTGAGTTTTGTTATTTTTTATATTTTTTACGAGTATTGTATTTATTTTATTTTTTTAATAACATATGAGTTAGAAATTACACAATGAGGAAATTAATATATATATATATATACACATACACAATTTACCAATTATTAGTCATTAAAAATATATAAGAATTTCTTTATACTTTTGTTATTTATATTTTATACTTTTATGTATAATATATTAATAATACGTTTGTAATTTATTAAAAATTAAAAATATTTTGAAATTGAGTATAATATTATTTATATCATTGCGTTGGAATGGACCAAAAGTAAAATAAAAAATTAAATTGGGAGTATTATTTTTTAATTTATTTAATTTATTACAGATAATTAAATTTATAATTTTGACTGGACCCTATTAATAATTACCGGTAAAATAAATATTACTATTAAGTGTGAAATTCAAGAAATAGTGTTGGATAATTAGGTGCTGTGGCGTTGAAGGCCCGGCACCCCGGCGATTCCCCCACCGCTTTTAACGGCTAAATGAATATAAAATATTCACAATTTTTTCCAGCACCGGGACTCCCTAACCGAAACAAATCCGCACCGTCTAATGCGTCAACCCCCAGATGTAAACCGCGATAAAACAATCTGGATCCGAACACCAGGATTCCCCCAAAAAGAAAAGAAATGTAATAATATTATTACAATAGTTTATAGAAAAGGTCAAAAGAAGTGGTTTTTCCTTTGTGCCCCTCTATATATATCTATTATTTTTTAATTTTTTTTGTTTTATTTTTATTTTTATTTTATTTTAAATTTTTTAAATTTTTTTCCTATATAACTTAATCCCTACCCTTAGTTGTTTTCCCCTTCCCCTTTCCCTTTGCCCACTTTCCTTTCTGCTCTGTTTCTTCCCTTTTGCCCTTTTGTGCATTATTACAAACCCAAATTTCTGCAGCAATTAATTAATGTCGAAGTTTTTAAGGATTTAGGAATCTTGCTGTGTCCATTTTCGAAGTAATTCGAGCTCAGCTTTAGTGGCAATTTTGCTCTGTTTTGGATAATGGATAAAGATTGCTTTAATGGCGACGGAATTCCGTTGCTAGAATTTCAGACTGCAATGGCAGGTTGGAATGGACTAAATTGCCCCTCCGATTTGTCCTTCTTTACGCCCAGTTCACATTTCGACGCCTCCTTTACCTCAATTGCCCCTCCGCCGCCGCCGCCGTTCATCGGAAAATTGGGCGCCGCCGAGAACGGCGGCGGCGAGTCCAATTTCACGGCGGGTTTGATAAACCCTAGTCTGGGAAATTCAGCGCCGCCGGTCCTTCCGCCGCCGCCGCCGCCGATTCCGGCGGATCCGGGGTTTATTGAGAGGGCGGCGAAATTCTCCTGCTTCGGCAGCCGGAGTTTTAACGGCAGAGCGTCGCCGATCCGGAATTCCCGGTCGCCGGCGGCGCCATTAATGCACGATTCGAAGCTTCCTCGAGTTTCGAGCAGCCCCGCGCTGAAGCCCACCGGATCGCCGCCGCTGATCGACGGCGCCACCGTGTCCGTCTCCGACAAGAAATTGGCGGCGTCCGGCGCCGACTCCAACGAGGAATCCTCCGTCTCCGAACAGCAAATCGAAACACTTTCAAAGAATCCAAATCAAAATCAGATCGCGAATTCTCGCAAAAGGAAATCCCCCCTCAAGGTACAGTGTGTCTTACTCGTTAGATTTTGGTTTTCTATTTAAATAATTATTTGAGTGATATAAATATATATTTATGTGATATTTTTAATATAAATTTTAATTTTAGTTAATATTATAATAAATAAAAAATACATACGGCTTTCGTCCTATTTAAAAATTATTATTTTTTATTTTTATTTATTTTAAAATAAAATTATTATTTACTAATTTAATAATGGTACTATTTATTTAATATAATAAATACTATTATAATTTATAATAGATTGTATTAATTATTACTTTTTTAAATATAATTTAATATAATATTAATATTAAAAAATTTATATGTAAAATTAAGAATGTCCCAATCAATTTATTCATTTCAATTTCCAGAGCGGCGCCGACGAAATTGGCGCCGGAAAACGGTCGAAGCCGACGCCAACATTGTCGAACAACGACGATAACAAAATTAACTCAAAAAAGACGACAGCGGCGACAGCTGAGCCTCCAAAGGATTACATTCATGTCCGAGCAAGACGAGGCCAGGCAACTGACAGCCACAGCCTCGCCGAAAGGGTATAATTTTAAAAATGACCGTCAGATCTACAAATTTAAATTAATAGCATTAATTACATTACTTACATTACCCTTGTCTTCTAGCTAATTAATGCTGTCTCGATTCTTAATTACAGGTCAGGCGAGAGAAGATCAGCGAGCGGATGAAGCTTCTGCAGGATCTCGTCCCGGGTTGCAATAAGGTAATTATTACTGATAATTATCCATTTTTAACCGTTCAATTCGAAAAAATTAAGGTTTGATTAATTTAAGGTTTGATTGTTTAAGGTTACTGGGAAAGCATTGATGCTGGATGAAATCATAAATTATGTTCAGTCATTACAGCGCCAGGTTGAGGTAATTAATTACTTCTTTAGTCCCACTTAATTTCTCTCATTTTTTATTTTTTGTCATTTTTTTTAAAAATATAATTATACATTTTAATCGCATTTTAAAATTCATAATTTATAATTTTTTATTTTAATTAAATTATTTTAATTTTAAATATAATTATTTTCATCAATATCTATCTTAATGATTTACTAATTACCTAAATTAGCTGAAAGAGATGGAGTAGTTTTTTAAAAATAATCTTTTTTAGATTATTTAATTTTCGATTGATTATCCAATTTTGTGTCTGATGTTACAGTTTTTGTCGATGAAATTGGCATCAGTGAATCCAAGCCTCGATTTCAACATGGAATCTCTTATCTGCAAGGATGTGAGTAGTAATTAATGATTCGACCACATTAATTTCTCAGAACGGATAGTGTTCTTAATTACAAATATATGTATGTGTACAGATGTTTCAGCAGCAATTGTACACATCGGCGGCGGCGGAGGTACCACACTACCAGCAAAACGTACAACCGCAAATGCACGACGCCGCAAGGGGTCCTCCCGACGCTTCTCTTCCGTCAAGACTCAATTTTTCTCCACTTCATGATCATAACAGTCAATTTACTGAAAATTTCCCTCAGGTAAATGTTAGTAAATTTTTATGATTTGCTTTTTTTTTTATTTACCAAAATTACTGTTTTCATTTTTATTTTTTTTTAAAAAAAAGTAGTAATAATTTTGATGGGTAAATAAACAAACAGTTCCCTGGTGGATTATTGAGTGAAGACGATTTGCAAAGCATTGTGCAGATGGGGTTTCTTCAGAACCCTCTTCCCAATTTCACTGCTGGTAATAATTTTGCATATTGATTTGTCTATTTAGATAAAAAAAAAAATTCTATTTTTTTTAAAAAATAGAAAAATACTTCTTCCTAGGTAAAGTCATATCTTATTGATCGGGTACAATTTTTTTAAAATATAAATAAAAAATAAAAACTTATTTTTTTATGGTAAATAAAAAGTAAAAGTTATATTATTTTTTTTTTTCTAATAGTAATAGTTAATGTGATATTTTAGAAATTTTGTTGTTGATGAATAATTCAAAATAAACTTTAAAAGCTTGCTCATTCTATTTTTTATTATTTAGTTTTCATAATTTTTATATAAAATATTTTATCTGTCATCAAAACTTATGCCCGAATAATCTTGCAATAAAAATATTGTATATTTATTAAAAATTATGTGGAGTAAATAATATTAATTTTTAATTTAAAATCATAAATGAACAAATCCAATTTCGTAGCTATTCTAATTATAATATTTAAACATTCATTTTTCACAATTTTTTCCACAAACACCAACTTTCCTAACTACCTTCATTTTATGTTATAGTCAAATTTTTTTTATTAATATTATATTATATTCATTAAAATATATATTCTAAATACTCCATCATCCGTCCCAAAAGTATAATTTTGTTAGGTTGGATACGAGATTTAAAAAATATTAATATTATATTGGTAGTTGGTAAAAAGTAAGAATAAATGATTTTTTTGCCTTTGTGAGTATATTAATGTAAAAAGTAATGTCAATGGTGTAATAATAATGAAAAAGTTAAGAATAATTTTATGGTGATATGATTATTTATAAAAATGAGACTATTGTTTTTGGACGGACAAAAATAGTAAACAAGACTATTATATTGGAACGGAGGGAATATTATAAATTGCATTTTTTAGATGAAGCTAGTGTATATATATGATTTGTCTCTATATGTGTATGTAATATTCTTACAGGGTGGATTAATTGTGGATTATTGTTTAATTTTTTTGCAGTTCCAAATATGAAAGTTGAAAGGTGATTTTGTTGGCTGATATCAAAGGAAGAGATTTATATTATATATATATATATATAATAAATTTATATATATGTCATTCTTCTGTATATATAAATATATAAATTATTGTAATATTATTATTATATATATATATATATATTTTTTTTTTTTAAAGTGAGAGTTTTTTAGTTCACCTGCAGCAGCCAAGCTGGATGAAGAATTATTCTAATTCCCCAACTCACAATTAGTTGCAAGAATCAAGATTATGATTATTACTATTATTTTGGTTTTTTATTTTATTTAAATTTTTGGAGGACTTTTTTTTTTTTTTTTCCTTGTAATATTTTTTCCCCCTTTTGGGTAGAAGTTTGTAATTTGTAATATATAAAGTTGTAAGATATATGAATATATAATATTATCTCTCATGATTATCATTATTACATCCCTTGATTATGGGTGTCATTAATTTATATACTTTTAAAAAAATTATAAATTGTATAATATAGAAAAATTAATATAATATTATATATTTTTATATTTTGTGCATTTCTTCTATGAATTGAGATTCTTGAATGATGGAAGATTTATTGCAAATCTTTGAATATTGTGGGATTTATGAATATAGTTGGGAAAATTTATATATAAATGTTAGTGATAGTAATATTATTTTATTAATTTTAATTTAAATATTTAGGGTGGCGGTGGTTATGATGGGTACTTATGTTGTAAACAGCTGTCTAAGTGGGACTACTATGATCTTTAAAAAGTCTTAATAGAAATGATATAAATGGCTACTAAAAGTTATTATTATTTATTTATTTATTTTTAGAAAATAATTATAATGACTTTTATTTTAATTTTTTTAATTGAAGTAATTAATAATTAAGAATGGGTTTTTGTTGGAGTCAATCATGATCTCTGCCATATTTCAAGGCGGCCCCCTTTTCAGTAATTTTTTATATTGAGGTCCAGGGACCACAGATCCAACTAGTAATAATGTATATGGAACGGAGCCATCGTATATATATTCGGGACTACAGCCCTGGATGTCCTGTATTTCATCCCAAGAGGGTATTTTATTCTATTTTATCTTAATTTTAGCCGTTCAATATTTAAAAATAATACTCCGTCCCAAAAAAAGTATTTATTTACTTTTTCTAATAATTTTAGAAATATTAGTATTATATTAGAATATAATAAAAATAAAATAAAAATGACTAAAATAACCTTGTTAGTATGAGTGATATAAAGGTAATCATATTTGTGTAATATATTATAAGTTGTAAGGGTATTTGTAATGTTAGGTAGGTAGTACAGTTACTAAAAAATGAAATTGATACTTTATTATGAGACGGACTAAAATGGAAAAATATATACTTTGTTATGGGACGGAGGGAGTACTTTATTAATTACTACCTCCCTACGTACTGTGTCTGCTACACTGTAGAGACGGTATTTTAGGACATGTATAATTAAGAGATAATTTAAAATATATTAGTAAAAATAATTATTCAATAATATAATAATTATAAATTAAGATTAAAATAACTAATTAGTTTAATTAAAAATTTTAAAAAATAAAATTAAAAAGTTTAAAATGAGATTAAAGTGTGTAATCATTTTTTTAAAAAAAAGAAAATGACATGGTATATGGGAAGACAGAAACGACAATATGAATATGATATGTGGGACGAAAGAAGGGAGTATTATAAATATGTAAGATTATTTTGGTGTTTTTTATTTTGAAAACGCAAATAAAATTATGTTTTTGTAAAATTTAAATTATATTTTAGTATTTAAGTATGGCTATTTTTATTATAATCGAAAATTGATATTTTTAAGTAACATAAAAAAAAAAAAAAAAAAATGATATATTAAGCTGATACAAATAATATACTTCTTCCGTCGTATTAAAATATTAACATTTTCCATTTTCGTCTGTTCCAAAACAAGGTTATTATTTCCTAATTTAGTAATTGTACTACTTATTTAACATAATAAATATCCTTTCAACTTACAAAATATTACAAAAAATACTATTACTTTTATATTACATCATACTAATAGAAGTATTTTTATCTTTTTTTTTTACTACAATCCAATATAATACTAATATTAAAAAATTTAAGTGCAAAAAGCAAACGCCTTCCTCCAATGGGACCGAGAAAGTATATAATTTTGAAAAAGAAAGTATTTATTAAATGTGTACGAAAAATAAAAATTAGGGGTGCGATTAATTATATTTGAATTTTAAATTAAACTTTGGATTGAAAATATCTTTTTTATCATTTTGATCGTTTATCTTACTTCAAAATATTAATCTTTTATATAAAAAAAATATATTTTTTTTAACATAAATTATTATTATTTTTATATTATCAAAACAATTTTTAATACTTTAATATAAAAAAATGCATTTATCAAAAAAAAAATCAACAAACCCATATTATATACTTTTATATAATATGATATTAAAATTAATATTTAAACTAATAATAATAATAATAATAGTAATAACAATAATAAACCACTTAATGCTTTTACATTACTCATTTTATAACATAAACAATAGTATTATTTAACTTAATAAAATATAAATACTATTTAAATCAAATTGCAAATCCAATTCAAAAAGAGCACAAGATTTTAAATTTTTTAAATATACATAACTTTAATTAAAATGAAAAAGATGTTTCAATATAATTTGTGAAAGAAAAAAATTGTTAAAATGAGTTATAATTTAAAAATAACTTTTACTATATATAATTTTTAATAATAATAATAATAATAATATATTTTTTTTAAAAAATATTATATCAAAGTGTTGTTTAAACAAAAATTTTAATCAATTTTAGAAAAAAAAATGTTTTTATTAAATTATTTGAGATGAGTTTAATTAATATGCATGGACTTTAGAAAAATAATTAAAAAAGAATCCCAGGTTGGCAATTGGTGATTTTCCTAGTAGACCCTATGGATCAGCAAACATAACTTTTTTAAATATTTGTTTTTTAAAAATATTTTAATAATTAATAATAATAATAATAAAATAATGTCAATTTTGGAAAGATGCCCTATAAAATAATTAAATTAATTTAATGAGAAGTGGTTAGTGAAAACCAACATTATTTATTTAATAAAAAAAAAAAAAAACCAAAAGATTTCTGCTTTTTGCAGGCTTTTTGATTATTTTAATAAAGGTTATGCATTATTGATAAAAGGAAGACTTAAATTAATTATCTGCAAAGATTCTTTGAAAATGATATATATTTTGTATATACTTCACAAAAGAGTTTAAAATTTTTAATATTATTATAATTATTTTTAATTCTATAATTGAATAATCATAGTAAGACCTGTCTCCACTAAATAATAAATAATACACAATCATGCAACGAAATGTGTCTGCCAATTGTATTTATCATTATTTTAATTATAATCTGTTATTTGAAATGACATTTATACCCTTATGCATTAATTACCTTCTATGGTAAGTAAACTCTTATTTTAAATTATTCTGCCTTCTTTAACGTGTATTACTTTTTCTTTACATCAATTAAGAAATAGTAATTTTTTTTCCCTGTCTCTTAGTAAATTTTTTTTTTTTTTTATTTTTTTCCGTTTTAAATTAAAATACTCACTCCGTTTAGCTAGAAAGTATACATATTTCTATTTTGGGACGTCCAATTACAAAGTAAACATTTCATTAAATACCTTATTTTTTTCCACAAATACTCCTACTTTACATCACATCATTACTTTTATACTAAAAAACAAGGGCAAAAATGTCATTACACTACTTTTAACTACCCACTATAATTAAAATACTATTATTTTTTAAACACTGCGCCAAAAGTAATTATATTTTTTTTTTTGTGGACGAAGGAAGTATTATTTTTTTTAATAATTGTGCTATGTATTTAAATATTTTTATAATTTATAATATAATACACAAATATTATTATTTTTATTTAACTAATTACAAAACTAATACACACTAATGTTATTTTACCTCTATTTATATTAAAATTCAAAACCTTATTTAAAATACAAAATAGATATTTCTTAAGGGTATGTTTGGATTTGAGTTTGGTTTTTATTTGAATTTTGGGATGTGTTTGAATTTTGTTGGTTCTTTTGTGTTTAAGTTTGGTTGGAGTTTTAGGAGTTTTGATGGGTATTGATTTAATGGATAATTAATAAAAGAATATAAATGTGTATTAAATTTAATTGATAAAATTTATATTGTATGATTTGATTATGAATTCATATTATACCCAACATATATATTTAAATTTTTATTTATTCGTATTATAAAAAATTTTATTCTCTACACAATAACATATATATTGTATATATTTTTTTACCTTATAATTATTATAAATATTAAATAAACATAAAATTTTAAAAAATTAAAAAAACTTACAATATCAGCGGTGGAAAGTTGGTCCGATTTGGGAGAAAACACTGTGCGAACACCCAAATCGGATCAGAAGAAACATACCCTAAATGAACAAAAGTCATCCTAGTATTTTAATTTGATTTAATAGTATTAGTGTAAATAAATATAGATTTTAGGATATTTAAAATATTTAATGTAATTAAGAACATAGTATATATTTATTTATATTATATAAAATTTTATTTTTTTATAAAATAATATTTATATTTAATATTAAAACATATTTTAAAATTTATCCTAATCACATAGTATTACATTGTAAATAAATATGAATTAAATAAATTTCATTAAACTAACCTTCCAATCACAAATTCATCTATTAATTTATTGAACATAACTTTATGCGAATACTAAAAAATGAATCATTATTCAGTTTTAATTTTTAATTGTAAAATTATATATTTGAATTGCAATAACTAATATAATTAGGTAGGAACTAATGGGAAAAACATTATATAATTAATGGCAACAATCCACTAATGCGACAGAATGTCGGCCGATTATAATATTATTTTTAAAAAATTATGTATATTAAAGAATTTAAAAATAATAATATTTTAGCATTAAAATAAAATAAATAAAAAAATAAAATATGTATATTATAGAAAAAATATTAAAGAATTAATAACAAAAATATAAAACAAGTAGAAATTTAGTGTTATAAAATTATTTATTACAATAAGAGTAATAAAATTATTTATTATAAATAAATTATACATAAATTTAATGGATAAAAAATTACATAATTTTAGTGAATAGAATAAGTAACTATTGTGTTTGTTTTATTGCTTGGGCGTGTGTGGGTGTTCTTTTATTAAATAATTATTTAATATAATATATATTATTCATTTTATATTAATATAATACTCTCTTCATCCCTTAACCATTTATCTATTTTCTCGTTGACACAAATGTTATTACCTTTATATCATACAATACTAATATGATTAATTTAGTCTTTTTACATTTATTTCTACTTTATCCAAATATAATATTAATATTTTTAAAACTCAATAAAAAAACAAATAGATATATAGATACTAGAAGGAGAGAGTATAACTCTATATTATTAGTAATTTATAGACAGATAATTCATAATATGTTAAATAGACAAATATGTCCATCCAACACCTTAATCCATCAAAGGTTTATTTGTTTGGTATTTTGATTTGAATTTTTCTTTTTTTTTTTTAATGTAAATTATAGAAAATTGTGTCATTAAATATAAAAAATATAATAGTTATAATATTGAATATTTTGTAATATAATAATATATATTGAAAATTATGTAACCAAACAAACCCTCAATGTTTATATATAATTCTAGATTTTTTTTGTATGAATTATAAAAATGTTATGAAAAATGATACTTTAATGTGATATTCTGTGAAAGAAAAAAAAAATATATTTTTATTAAAAATTATACAGAATAAATAATATTGATTTAAATTTAAAATTATAAAAAACAAACTCATAATAGTCTAAATTTCAAATAATAAAATCAAACTTCCAACTGCAATTTAATCTTACGGACAAACAGATCCTTATTAATTTTAAGATCTTTAAATTAACACTACAAAAGTTATTCATAAAGGCTGCATGTGACAATAGGGTTTTAAAAGATAATAATTTCAAGAAATTTAATTGGAATAGAAATTAATTATAAATTTTATATTGGGTTAAAATATAAGTAAATAGAATTATATTTACATTTTTCAGTTATTTTTTGGTAAAGTGAAAATAATACAATAAAAATGAGAATATTCAAGAATGATATGAGTTCAGTTTGAATTTTGTTATGAATGTATTTTTTTTTTTATTTTTTATATGAGATATAAGAATCATGTTTATAATATCAAAAATAATATTTTATATTAAATTATTCATTTTTTTTGTAAGGGATTAAAATAAATATTATATATATTGTATATTTTTATAATATTTATAAAGAATTGTGTCACTTAAAAAATAAATTGGGTGAATAAACGTATATTTTCTCAGTGTTTTTACGTAAATAAGATATGTTCGTAACAAAATATTTGATACAATTACCTAAGCTAAATATTTATATTTTTGCATAAGATATGAATGTAAATTATAACAGTAAAAATATTATGACAACGGCCGACAATGTGAGGAGGTGATATATTCATTCAGGCTGAGATTTTTTAAAATTATAAAAATATTTAAATTTCTTTTGTGATATTAATATAATATTTTTTAAAAATTAAATAACACCAATATTATTTTTAGATATACTAACATCAACTTCAATAATAAGTATATTTAAAATGATCGTTATCATAATTAAGTACTGTATCTTTTTGGTTGAAAATTTGATTACTTACAAATTAATAATAAATTGGTTCGGTTGCTTTTTCCTTTTTTTTTTTTATGTAAAATAAATTAGATGACATGCATTTTTTAAAATAGAACGAATATATATTTTTGAAATGAAATCTAAATAGTAAAAACATCCGGATGGAAAAAATACAATAAAATAAAAAGTCATGAGTTTGTTCTTCTATTTTTTTCAAATAAAATAATTATTTGAATAGTTCTTTTTATTCAAGTATATTAATTTGTATTATAAAGATTATACCAAAGCATAGTAATAAATAATTAATTTACAGCAAATATATGAGAAATTCTGATAAGATTACCAAGTAATTGTTTACAATGATTCCATTAAGTGAGACATAATATTCCAATAATAGTTATCAAAAAATAGTAATATATTTTGAACTAGAGATGTTGTATTAGTTTAAAATTCAAATAAAATCTTCAGTTTCAAATCAGTCACATAAATCCACAGCCGCAGCTTATAATTCTTTCCTTTTTTCGTTATAATATTTAAAATAAAATTAATAATTAGATTTAATCATTTATCCTTTTTTTAAAAATAAAAAATAAAAAATAAAAATATGCACAAAAACATACATGTATTTTCCATTTATATTTTGACATTAATTTCAAAGGGTTGCCTGTTATAAATACAGAACTACTTTAGGTGTGCGTGTGTGTTAATATGTGCTTATTTATTAATTCACATGACATTGGAGCACAAGTTGTGTGTAGAGACCAGAAATATGTAAATGTCACGTCACTGTGGGAGTGAGTTTATCTTATCCATAATTATTTATTGTCATTTTTCTTTTTACGGATAAAAAGCAAACTTTCTTTATCGAATCTGATACCTTACAAATTAAATTTCACAAAGCGTATCAAACCAACAAATTATATACAGCAAACAAAATTCAAAAACATTAAAAGTTTAAATTTGGCTCTATTGAGTTTCCTCTTTCAAACAAATCCCTCCAATTAATAATGCCTTCCTTCCATTGATTGCTTAATAACACTAAAGTAATATTAGTAGAGTACAAAGAAAGAAAAGATTAAATATTTATAGTAACTAAAGAATATAAATAAAGTGAATAATTTATTTCATAAATATATATATTTAGCGGGAAAACAATAATAATAATAATAATAAAAGTTTGATAGGGGGAAGAGTATCTATTAAGTGAACATTTTGGTTATACATTTGGGCCAAAGAACAACAACAATGCTTGACTATGAAGACAACTGTATCTTAATATTATTGATTTTGGGCCCCAAAGACTGACAAATAATATTACGAATAAACTAATAAGTCATCCATAAAAGAGCAAAACGAAGAAGATCCTTAATTTGGATATAAAAAAGGGGTCTACAGAAAATCTACCACCCACCCATCCATCCAATTTTATTAGAAAATCAAAATCTCGATCCAAAAATGTGAAGAAGAAATTATTAAAATATTAGATCGAGGAATTTCTTACATTGATTAATGAGGTGAAATGTGTTGGTTAAGCTTTGCTGTCAATGGTCCTCGGCTGCTGAATTTTGTTGAGCTTTGCAAACATGTTGCCGTAGAACTTGGCATCCTTCTTGTTGTGCTCCCTCACCTTTTCCTTCAATATTTTGTACTCTACTTTCAAATCCCTGCAATTATTTACCAAACAAATCAATCTACAATTTAATTTTTTTCTTTAAAAAAAAAATAAACTATCCCGTAGTCTCATACATAGAGCTCTTATCATTTTAGAACAAAAAACAAATCTAATATTAAATTAGCCCCACAATTCAAAAGATTTGCAAAAAAAGTGATCCAAGTAGAAACACCAAAAATTGTGTAAATAACAAATAGACAATGTATAATGATTATTTAGACCCTTTATTTTTGTAATCATGAGACTAACCAATTTATAATCTACTTATATTTCTAAAAATCATAGATCAACTTCCGATCTAGCATAATGGTGATTTGACCGAATCAACCTATTCTATAAAAGTAATCAACGTATATTTATACATATTTTAACATATTTATAATACAACATATATTATAACATGTATTGTACTATATGTAAATATATGTATCTTAACATATAATGATCTAGTTAAATCAGCACCATAGATATCATATACTATTTTGTGTAAATACATATTGATTATGTGTATGACATATACTGATCTGATTAAATCAATAAAGTGATCATTTCTAAAATATTTTTCAAATATATGTCATATAAATGGGCAAAGATATATTGATTGTGTTTATCCAGTCAAATCTGCACCATACTGACTTAACCGGATCAGCACAATGGTCATTTCTAAAATAATCTTCAAATAGATGTCCACCTATCATCCATAGCAGCAACTTATCATTATTCTTTTATTTAGTAGTTGTTGTTACCTGTTGTCGGGGTCAATTTCGAGTGCTTTTTTAATGTCAAACTCAGCCAAATCCAAATCCCCCATGTTCATATACGCTTGTGCTCTTCTGTACAGTGCCTTCACGTTTGTACTCTCCACCTCCAATACCTTCACTCACACCACAGTTTCAGCATTTTCAATTTTCATCAATCAACCAAACATAACTTGAAACTGAGAAGATAATCAATTCAATTTAATTTAATTTAATTTAATCACACACCTTGCTGCAGAGCTTCTCCGCCTGCTTATAATCTTTCAGCTTCAACTTGCAAGCAGCATTGTTCAGGTTGCATGTTACCTTGAGAGCCTTCGACTGTTTCTTCTCCTCCTCACCAAACGATGTGTCGTATTCAATGTACTTCGCAGCCTGGATTTAAATCGAACTTCTTTTCATTTCGTCTTAATCGAAAAGTAGAATCACAACAGCTAATTTGTCTATTCGAGTACCTTCTCGTAGCGTTTCGCGGCTCGTGTATACTTCCCAGCCTTGAACAGAGCATTCCCTTCTTCCTTCTTCTTTCCGGCAGCTTCGATCTTCTCCTCCGTGTTCATATCCCACGATTCTTTTTCCTACACAAGTTCGATACGATACCATCGGTCGTTGCTCCGACTCAACATAGTTTCTATACGTTTAAGGATTTGCATACCTTAACAAAAGAGACAAGTTCCACGTTGTAGTATATTGTCGAATTCGGCGGAACGACAGCCAAGTCTTGTTTAGTTTCGGATGAGCCGAATGCGTACTCGGGAGCAATTGTCAACAGTGCTGTCTCGCCCTTCTTCATAGTTGCCACAGCTCGGTCTAATCCTTCGACAACTTGCTCTGATGTACGAATTAAACAAAGATTAGATCCTCGTGGATTGCATATAGTTCAATTCAAGATCACACAAGTTCTTACCTTCGTCTATCTTGAATTCAAATAGCTCGTCCTCGTTGTCACTGTGGCCTTTCTTGACGAACACAGTCCCGTCTTGCAGCTTCCCGATCAATTTCACTGATCAAACAGAAAAAGAACAAAACTTTTAGGTGGTTGCCATAAGATTATCATCCGATTTATGCAAACTCGTAAGAACTTCTTTACATTTAACGACAGCTCCATCGTTAGGGCGCTCGTATCCCTCCCCTTCTTTAAGTATCTTCTTTACGACTTTCTTGTCGTCTGTAACGTTCGAAACTGTCTTCCAGGACACGAGCTCCAGGTAAATGTTGAGGGTAGCATTTTCTGGAATAGCCCCTTCATCTTCCGAGGCAGCCCTTCCTCTTTCACCGAAACCATCTGCAATAACATCATCAAGTCGACAGTTAGGAGGTTCCAAACTATCAAAAAATTAGGGTTCGAGAAACAGCAGCAGCATCACATACATTGTGGCTTAACAGTTAGTAGGACTTTTTCGCCTTTCTTCATTGTCTTCACGGCCTTCGACAGGGCCGGGCAGAAATAACCTGATCACAAAAGAGAAAGCTTTCTCGTCATCGTCAAATGCAAACCAATTGCATTTCTAAATGGTGGTTTAGAACACACCTTCTTGGACAGTGAATTCGACGCCATCTGATCTGGAAATAACAGTTCCATCCTCCAACTTCGCTTCATATTTGACTGAATTAAAAAGAATGCAACAAAGTTAGCACAAAAAATGGTGAAGAATTAAATGATTTTGGCTAGTGAATATGTCTACGCACCCAACACTTCATCAGGATCCTTCGGATTCTCCCATTTCTCTCCCTCTTTGACAATCTTCTTGAATATACCGCCGTCCTTACAAATGTCTTTGACACTCGCCCAGGATAGTAACTCGACGTTAAACTGTAGGGTGGCGTTGGGAGGTATTGTCGGAGGAGCACCGGATTCACCATATGCCAATTCCGGTGGTATGGTGAAGACGGCATTTTCGCCCTTCTTCATTGTTTTGATACCTTCGTCCCATCCTTTAATCACTTGTCCTGTAGCATGGAAAAGAGATTTCCCAAAATTACTATGAATTCAATGTAATGGATTGAAATGTAATGAATAGAGAATTTATGCAGTGATTTGGTTCATAATGAAATGATTCGACACTGACGATTCCTATTTTCCTGGGGTATCTAGAATTCATAGACTAGGCTCTCAGATCAACTAAAACGATAATCGTTCCTATAATACTTGGAATTTCTATAACTGCTGAACAAATCCTTTCCAGCTATATTAATTGCATTGATAATCAGAACGTGTTGATTCTTCAAATTAATCATCACTGGTATGAAATGAATATGATGACGCACGATCAAATCTGTAATGTAGATGCTAATTCAGCATAGAATTGCAATCTACAGAACAAATCCTCTCCAGCTACATTAATTGCATTGATAATCATAACGTGCTGATTCCATGAATTAATCATCAATTGTATGAATACGACGCATGATCAACTCTGTAATTTATATGCTAATTCAGCAGAAACAAATTGCAATCTAACCGAATCGATCAAAAGCAGGAATCTAACAAATATCACAAATTCATAAAAGAGTGCCGTGTCTTCTAACCTTGGCCGAGAGTGAACGAGAATGGCTTTTCCCTATCACGACTCGAATCAAATTTGGTACCATCAAGCAGCTTTCCAGTATAGTGAACTGCAAATTTCACCCCACGCAGACTCGTCAGCATTCAATTCTCAAATCAATAAAATACAATTTCGCTAGCTAGCCATAATCCAACACAACCAAATCAGCAATTAATTACCTTCGACTTCATCGCCATTTTCAGGAGTGTCCCAGCCTTCCCCTTCCTTAACAAGCTTCTTCTTCAAACCCTGCGCACCGATCTCCTTCTCCTCCCCGACCTTCATGTAAGCGCTCTCCTCCGGAAGATCCATGCCATCATCCAACCCCTCCGCCGGCGGAATATCAAAATCGTCCTCCATTTCAAACCTCTCACAGCTCAAACAGACAGGAATCAGTCAAATGACGAATGCAAACGCGAATCGATCTTCTGCACCGAGCAGTTAAGGTTTGGCTTTGGCCGTTGGAGATTTTATAGCGTGGGGAGAATTCTCGAGAGTTCTACGAACGCATCGTATAGACTGCGTATGCCGAAAGGTCAGGAAAATTCCAGAATTTTAATATTTATATATTGCCTCCTGGCCCCCCCTTTTTTATTTTTTTGTCATTACATTTTACGTGACATAGAAAATTGTATTAATTTATTTGTGTTATAGTATAAAATTTTAATTTAAAAATATTTAAATATATATTTTAGAGTCTTAATAATATATATTGATTTTATTTTAAAATTATAAATAATCATTAAACATTTGGCAAATCGGACCTGCTCAATTTGTTTTAAGCCGGGCCAAAAAATTCAGGCCCAGACACATGAAACTGGGCCGGCCCATTTTGCCATATTTTAATTTTTTATTTTTAAAATTTTAAAACAATTTAATAAAATTTATAAGTTAAATATAAGAAATATACCTATCACTTAATACTAGTAAACTAAAAACTAAATTATTAGACTATATATTCATTTTTGCCAATATGTTTTTAAAATTATAGTTAATTTAAAATCAAATCAGCTTAGCACAGCCCGATTCATACTTGTGTTGGGTCATTACAATTCAAAATTTTTTGTATCTATTTTATTTTGGCCAAAATACCATTTTTTTTTATTTGATTCGAATCGAATTTTCAATTTATTTATTTTTGTTTTTTATTTTTATTATTATTATTATTTTTTTTCAGCTTTAAGTGCCACAAGCTAAATGTGTATGATATATGTTCATCATATTTTATTTGACAATTGGTCGGTTCAGCCATGTCCTGAGACTTGTTTCAAATACACATTGTTGGATTCAAAATTCAAATTGGACTAAGCTATATTTAAATATGATCATGAACTTGACCTAAACTATATTAGATGGATCCAATTTTTATTTTATTTTTTTATTATTTTTACAAATCTTAAATTTTATCTTAAAACTTGACAAACATCCGAATTTGACATATAATAAAATTATATATTTTATTCCAAACTATTATAGTAAAATAATAAATAATAAATAAATAAAGCTAAAAAATATTGTTTTAATATAATTTATATTGTTCAAAATTATTATATATATAATTCATGTATTAACAAGGTCCAAACCCACTTGGGACCTAAAATCCAACACAAATTTGACTCAATATCTGAATAATTGAGTCGGATACTAAATAAATAAATAAATTGGATTGAAATCGAATTTTAAATCTATCCAAATCCATTGCCATCTCAATTTTAAAATTTTATGGAAATCTTTTCTCATCTAAAAGAGTATACTTGGTCATTACTACTACCAAGTCTAATACTACTACTAATAATAATAGTAATAATAAAAATAATATCGTCCGCGATGATCCGCGATGATTCAGTGGTGTAAAATGAACTTATGAATACGATGTCATGAATTCAAATTTCGACGCCAAAATGTTATTTATTATAAGATATGAAAATAATATCATTTATTTGTAATATCATATATTGTGCTACTATACATATATATATATATTATATTTTTAATAATATTAATAAAAAATTATGTATTTTTTTTTTAGAACACATATATATATTTGCAACACAATATTAAATTCACAGTCATTTTAAATTTAAGAATCATTAACAAAAAAGGAATAAGGTTTAATGCAATGCTCATCGTGAACAAAATATTACTTATAATATAAAAGGGAAAAAAGTTTGAAAAGGAATTCAATATTATAAAAATAAAAAATTGCCCTACAAAATCCAAAAAAAGCGATAATAAAATTAATTTAAAAATTATATTGATATAAATAAAATAATTACTACTAATATAATTATCATCGAATCCATTATAAATACAAAATAATATCCTAAAATCTTTTAAAATAAGAATGAAAAATCTTATTTTCCACGTCATATAAATAAATAAATAGATAAATATTGTATTTGATATATCGAGTCATATTTTATTTTATGGGTTTTGTTCATTATATATGCGTTTGGTTTCTTCTCCAACGCTACCTCTGCGGAGTTTTCTGTTTATTAATATATTCGCAGCGTCGCTCCGTTAATCCAAATCTCTCTCCTCTCTCTCTCTCTCTCTCTCTCTCTCTCTGTATTGTTTTCAACGATTCCTGTCGTATTACTGCATTCGCGATTCGAATAATCTATTCGCTTTCAGAGGCTGTGCAATTCTCTTTCTAGATCTTCCGAGGTCCGACGATGCTGCCGTGGTTTTGTTTTCTAGAAGGTGAGCTCACTTAGCGGCTACGTTTTGTAGATGTTAATTGTTTTTATTTTATTTATTTTTTTCTGATATGGTTTTGGACGGTGTGAATTGTGATTGTGCTTTTGATTGATGAGGCGTTGTTATTTGAATTTGCACTGTGCGTTGAAGCTTGCAATTCTGGAATTCGTTGTTTAGGTTCGGTGTTTTTGTTATTTTTCCCACACCGTGTGGATTGCGATGCGCTGGATTATGGTGTTAGCCCTTGTTGATCTTTAGTCTCGATTATGTGATGAGTTGTTTTGTTTGTGTGTGTGTGTGTGTGTGTTTTGCCATTCCTCAATTATCAGAGGGTTGGAATCAGTTATTAGGGATTTTTCTACTGCCTCAATTCATTATTTCCGTGAGATGATTGTGTATATATATATGTATATATATAGGGTAAAGGATTGGCATGTAGAATATCTTGATTAGGTATTAATTTGCGACCACTTATCTCCTACACCGTTGGATTCCACACTGTTTTGATGCTGATTCTTTACTTTATGAACAGGTGATTGAAATTCCAGAGGCACTCAAGATTTTATGCTGATGATTGTAGATAAGCTTGAAATTCTTTTCTGAAGCATTCATAGTGCAGAGACCTCGCGTTCAGTGGCTGCTTTTAGATGATAACCACTGCTTGCAGCTAGTATAGGCTGCATCTAAGCATGTTGATATCTATTTTGTTGATAATTGGTCAATCTTACAATGAAAAGCCAACTCTTTGGTTCACATTATATTATTCAGTGGACGCAAGGCCAGATTTGTGCATACCAGTAGCTCAACAACACTGTTTAAACAGTGTAGAAACCTCTTTAACGAGGTCCGGGATCCACTGATCAAACTTTGACTTACCAATTTGTAAATTGAAGAATGGAAAAGTGAGTATCTTAATTCTTGTTTGATATTGTTAATTAATTGGGTTCCTTTGGTTGAGCTTATTATCTAAGCTTTGTAATGATGTGCTCTTTGCTGTTGTTCCTCCAGATATAAATTTTTTGGTGAGATTGGCGATGGAAGTTGTGGTCATGTATATAAAGCTATAAATATTGAGACATCTGAGATTGTGAGCAATAACCTATTTGCGCGCTTTCTTTTCATTGATCTTGTGGAAATCTACTTGACATCCTGTACCTGTTCCAGGTTGCTGTCAAAAAGATGAAGAGGAAGTACTATTACTGGGAGGAATGTGTAAACCTAAGAGAAGTGAAGGTACGTGCGAGTTAATGTATGGTAGTTTTTCTCTTGATCTTGCTAAACATGTTGGAACTCAGAGATTACATATGAAAAGTGTGTATTTTATTTAGTTGACACTGGCTGACAACTTGTTATTCCCTTCGAATGTGCAGTCCCTCCGAAGATTAAATCACCCTAACGTCATAAAGTTGTTGGAGATTGTCAGACAAAACAATGAGCTTTTCTTCATTTTTGAGTACATGGTATTATTCTATATTTTTTTGAAAGCTACTCCTTTGTTTGATACATTCATTTATTTTTATTTTTAACTGTGAAGCATGACAGACTTGGCAATGTCATTGATAGTTAAAATATCTCTATAATCAAGATTTGGATTTGTAAATTATTTGGAGCTGTATCGTTGAAACTGGTATGTGTGTGTATGTTATTTAGTTTAGGCACAGCAGTGGAACTACTTGAACTTGCATCTTGTCTTTATGCAAATTACTTTTTTACTTATTGCTTAGACTTACCAATATGACTCATCCTCCACACACACTGATGAATATACTTTATCTGGACAAGAATAGGGTAATATCCATTTAAGAATATTTGATTAGTGCCATTCTGGACAAGAGTCTAGCATTGCCTACTACCTAATTCACATCAGAACAGGGAACACTAGAGGTTTATAATTATGCATCTTTGTAGATCAAAGAAGAGAACTCTATCTTATGAAGTTAAACCAAAGCAATGGATGGTTTAGTTAGATTAATTTCCAATGCATAAAATATTAATCTAGTTAAAGGTCATGTATAATTAGATTATATGCATATAGTAGTCGTTGCTCGCATTTAGGTGTTTAATATAACCTAATTTTAAGAACATGGCAAAGCAACATAGCTTAGAAGATGATCTAAATCTGCTATTTCAGATGGTCTGTCCATTGCAATTTATCTGATGATAGTATCTCATTATATCTAATTTTGAAGTCTGCCATCTGTTACAAAAGCATTTGATGTGTTTTTTTTTTTCTAACCATCGATCATAAAATTAAAGCTTAAAGGAGCATAATAGATAATGAAATATTCTGTGGAGAACCTTCCAACACCTTTTTGTGCTTTATATTCCCAGGAGCATAACTTATACCAAATAATGAAAGATCGACAGACTTCTTTTTCGGAGGAAGAGATTCGAGCATTTATGTCCCAAGTTCTGCAAGGGCTTGCACATGTGCATCAACACGGATATTTTCACCGTGATCTAAAACCTGGTAAAATCTATGAAGGCTTTTCTGTATTATATGAATAAGAAATCCATTTTTGTTTGCTGAGAAAGATCATGGTGTAGAGCTAATTCATTGAATTCTTTCTGTCAGAAAATTTGCTGGTCACAAATAACATGCTAAAGATTGCCGACTTCGGACTGGCTAGAGAATTGTCATCATCACCTCCTTTTACTGATTATGTTTCTACTCGCTGGTTGTAATATATATTTCCAACACTGATACACCAGTCTTTATTGCTATTTTTAACGATTTATGAGTCTGACGCATGCCTTTGTGTGCACTTTCTCTTTCTTGTCAAGGTATCGTGCTCCAGAGGTCTTACTTCATTCTTCATCCTATACCCCTGCCATCGGTATGCAAGATTTGTTACTGAGCATGCTTACTGTCACTCTATTGAATGAAGTTTGTCAAAATGCTGGCTTATGTTTTTATTTCTGGTGCTTCAAGTTGTTGCAAATAATATGGCTTCTTATTGGACATTTTAGAGCGTTCTTTCTTCCTATTTCATTTATTTTAAATGATGAGCATATACACGTTTTGATTGATATATAACTATCTACAGATATGTGGGCTGTTGGTGCAATACTTGCTGAACTTTTCACTTTGAACCCGTTGTTTCCTGGGGAAAGGTAACTTCACAATCTAGTTTTGGAATATCATTATACCAGATCTGTTATAATATAGTTATATACTTTTGGAAAGGTAACCCGTTGTTTTGGAATACAGTGAAATTGATCAGTTATACAAGATCTTTTGGGTTCTTGGGGCTCCTGAATTGAATTCCTTCCCTCATGCCAGAAACATTATTCAATTAACTGATATCAGTTATTCATATGTAAGTTGTCTCGGTTTTGGTATTATATTTCATCACCCTCTATCATTCTATCCCACCACTTTCAACTAATTCAAATGCCAATCATGTTGATAGATCAAGCCTGCCAGTTTGTCTGATATTATTCCAAATGCAAGCCTGGAAGCAATTGACTTGATTAAGGTAGATTTAATCAGTGTGTCATTACCACGTTATATTTCTTGTCCCTGGTTCATATAGCCTTCATTATGTAATGCTTTTATACCTTTCAGCAACTTTGCTCCTGGGATCCATTGAAACGGCCGACTGCAGAGCAATGTTTGCATCATCCTTTCTTCCATGTAATATAAATTATATATATATATATATTTTCTAAGCTTATGCAGTTGCTGCATCGTTGCTAATGTCTTCCAATGATTAGGTTGCCTCACCGTTTCCTCGTCCACTTGGAGACGGACTTAAATTAAGTCTAGGTAATTTTACGTGGTATTTTTCATGCCTCCCAATATGTAAGAACGATGTGATTCATAATTATGTATTGCCATTGTTTGTAGGAGCCGAACCTAATCTTGAGCTGAACTTGTGGGACTTCGGTGCTTCAAAGGATGATTGCTTTCTTGGCTTGACATTGGCAGTGAACCCCAGCGTTCCAAACTTGGGTAGAGGTTGTTCCTTCCCACATTATTTATTGGATTATTACATGTTACGCCATGTTTTCATAGTGTTTTTTTCTCTGTAAAAACTAATCAGTATTATACAACCCCTAGGTACAAATCGACATAGTTAGACCTAAGATTTCATTAGTAATTGATTTAGTTTCTTTGAAAAAACCTTAAGAATAATCTGCCTGTGGTAGGAACCAAAGTAGATGGAATTTGCCAAAAAATTTAGTCTTTTCAGAATTGGATGAAATTCGCACTACTCGTCCAAAAGGGTCCAACAAATCAGACTCATTGCATCTCTGATGTGATGATGTCCGATGTTGTGTGGTCATTAGCAGTCCCATTTTTTCAACTTTTTGGGTTTTATTTTTTTAATTTTATTTATTTTGAGCTTATTTCTTTTGGGCTTTAGCATTTCCGAACCTACAAGTAAATTCCCCCTCTTCTGAAAACTTATCGTTGTCTTGTTGTTTTACATTTTTCTAGAGATGATCTGCAGAGATCAAGGTGCCAAAGACGTACGTGCTTTAACCTACACATGTTCTTCCTCTTGTCACTACATACAATAACACCTGGTCAGTATCATCTGTTATGTAACTTGTCGACCCTCTTTTATGCAGGATGTGATGATCCATCCCAGTTATATCGACCATTCACAACAATCAGGTAGTATTTGGATTTAATATATATATATTTTTCCCCACCATAATATTTACCACCAACATTCCTCTTTTATATTTTTTTTTCAGTTTTCTGGTCGATGTTCCCTGCCAATCACCACGTATTAACTACATCGGTGGAGCCTTCCCTATCGCTGGCTTTCAGGTAAAATTTGATATTCGGTGAGAAAGCAACATAGGATGCAAAATGAAATGGTGTTCTGAATGTGTCTTTTAATCTTGGGAATAAATTTTTTCTTTTTTTCTTTTGATGAAAAATGGAGAATATGGGATAGAGTTGATATTTTATATGGATATGTTATATGAACATATTCTTTTGTGATTTTAATAATAGTAGCGTGAGTTGTGTGGACTATTGTCATGTGTGTTGTTATTTCATAGTCTCTCTATCATCAAAATTTATTCTTATTTTCACTTTCTTTCTTTTGGTAGTTATTAGTGTTTCTCTTTTTAATAAAGAAAACTTTTATTTTTTTTTACTTTCTTTATCATAAAAAGAAATTTTTTTTATTTTTATCAACTTTAAAAAAATCCGTAACCGATCACCTGTGTTTTGTTTTGTGGGCAGTTCTGGTTCAAATCCATCAGCAAATATGATTCCGGAATCGGCAGCAGCAGGATTCACGGTGGCGCCGTTCCAGGCCAATGGTGGTCTAGATCGCCCGGTCCTCGCAAGTTCAGCACCCTTTCCCCAACATCATCGATACCTCTGATCTATATTAATATGGTATGAATGAATGAATTGAGGCAATTTTTGTTTACACTTATTTTTATTGACTTTACTTCCTACTTGTTTAGATGATTTAGTTAGTCGCAACCACCTTTTGGTTTATTGATTTTGAGGTCCATATAGTGAGCGAGTCAATCACATTATTTTTCTCTTCTTATTATTATTAAATATTTGAGTTTTTTCATCTACGGGTTTTTTCATACTTTGTAAAAATGGGGTGGGTATACATAGAATTTAGAGATTGGTGAGTTTTATTATTATTATTATTATTATTATTATTATTATTGGTTGAATAGTTATTTGAAGGTGATGTTTTGTAAAATAAAATAATATATTTTTATGAAAATATATATATATATAATAAAATCGTAAAGTGAACATACCAAATATTCAAATTTTGATGTGTTTCTTGTGACTAAGAATAGTTAATCAACTTTAGAGTGTGATTTTAATTGGTTCATAGAATAATTATAGGTGCATTCGTCCACTTTATTTAATTCAAAAGATTTTTAAATAAAATATTATACTCACTATAGTCTAATACTCCCTAAACCCTAAAAATATAAAAATTGGAATTGGAAACACATCTAAGTACTAGTGAGATCACAATTTTATGTTCTTTTCAAAAAAATTTGCAGAATGACAAATTATCTTATAAAAATTACTAGATTTTTAATAAAATACTATACCAAAATTAATATTTAAGAAAAAAATTAAAAATAAAATAAAATACGAATGAAACCAAACTCCAAATACTCTTGGATTTTTTTATTTTTTTTTTGAAAGTTTTAAAATTTTAGAATTCTTTAATAATAAAATTTGTAACGATGAAACCAAAATTTTGAAAGAACACAAATAGTGTGCTTGTTTCTATTTAAAACTAAAATTAAATTAATGTATATTTTAATAAAAATATATATATTTCTTTTAACTTTATGAAATATTTTTATATTAACAACACAATTTATTATACTGCCAAAAACATATCATCCTAAAATATAAAGTGAACAAATTAATTATATTAAAATATTATTTCAATTACAACTCAAATCAAAATATAATCTTAAATCAAAATTTAAAAAATTCAACGCTATTTGAAGTTCTAGATATTTTTGAAAAATAGTAAAATATTCTGATACAATGTTTGTAAATAAATATATATAGTTAATGTGGGTTTTTTTAAAAGAATAATATTATATAGTATTATAAAATAATATTTTTAAATGTATGAAAATAAAATTTAGTAAATGTTTCTTTAGTATATTTTTACAAATTTTAGTATTTAAACTCTGGCGTTTTCTTAAAAAAAAAAATATTTTTTTTTCACAAAATATTTTATCAAATATTATTTTTATATTAAATTCAAATTAATTTATTTTAAAACTCAAAAAAAAAAGACACACAACCTTAGCTGTTATAGAAACCATAGTGAAAGTACACATCAAATAAATCTCTATTCAAACCTAATATTCTACGAATTAAACTCAACAAACAAATCACACTAAAGATCGGTTTGAACCCCGCAAACAGGCAACTATCAACAATTCAGAGACTAGTCATCACATCATAACGTGACACGTGGCAATGAATATATATATATATATATTAATATTTCACGTTAACCCTTGCAGCTAAGCAACCTCCCTTCCCACTCTCTTGCTTCGCCATTGAAGAAGTGTCACCAAACTGCTCTGCTCGCTCAGAAAACCTTTCCGTAATGGGCGGAGACAGCTTCTTCCTTCCTACTCCTCCATCCGCCGGTGCTTCATCCATTTTTCTAGTTCATTTTTATTTTTACTTTCTGTAAATACGAAGTTTAATCCGATTTTCCTAAATTCTGCAGACGAATCATTGCAAGGTCTAAATTCGCCGCACGAATCGCCAAATTCCAGTGTTTCCAGGTTTAATTTATATATTGATTTTCAATTCGAGGAGAAACACTCGTTCCGTATGGATTTGACATCTATCGGTTGATGATCGCTGCTGTGTTTTTCAGTAGGGACGAGGAGCATTTGAATTGTGAATCGGAAAACGATTTGGGGGAAGTTTCTTCGATCTCTGCGGCTGTGGAGAGGCAGAGAGTCAAGGTCTATGCAGATGTTTTGGGGAGTTATGAGTTGTTGAAGTCTCGGACGAACAGATTGGGGGAAGCCAAAAGTAGAATACTAAGGTAGGCTTTGCTCTGTCATTTCTTTCACTTTGAAATCGATTTTTGAGACTGAAAGAAGCATTTATCAAATTGCAGATATTCAAAGGATTTTTTTGGTGCCATTGTTAGATATTTTGAGTAGTTCATATTGTACGCATTAAAAAAATAAATGGATATAATGCGTCATAATAAAAGATATAAATAAAAGATATTGTACAAATATTATAGGATAAATTAAATAATTTCCCTTAAGAAAGAAGTATTATACTCTCTTTATCCAGCTCTGACATTAAAAATATCTTTGTCCCGTAAGCGATGGCTTGGTGGTGTATGAGTTGGACTTGTGACTGTCACTTGCCGCACATGGTTCGCCTCAGGTCATTGTAATAGTATTATAAGAAGTATTTTTGCTTTTTCTTTAAAAAAAAAATTGTATTACATTTTTACATAATAATTAATATTTAAATATCAACAAACACAAATTTTATGGCTGAGTGATATTGCTCATCATCATTTAGCTATTGCATTTATTTTTCTTGTTGCTGGTCATATGTATAGAACGAATTTCGGGATTGGACACAATACCATGGATCTTTTTAGTATATTGTGGGTGTATTTACTTTGAGTGATTAAATTGGATAATATAATTTTATCCAACCTACTCACTGTTTACTTTATAATATTAAAACCCGTGATTGATTAAAATTTGATATAGTAATACACTAATTGGAGATGATTAATCATATCTAGATGTGTGAGATTAATTTAATGAAGTAAAGTGAACATGATAGTATTAATTAATCTCATGATTAATCTAGTAAAATAATCTTATGTATTATAATCATATCCTTCAAACTTCAAAGTAAACACACTTTGTATATATTATTTGTTGGTAATATTAATCGGGAAACATGTATATTTTTTGAGTTTAGTTAACACATAGGATATTTTTATGTTAAAGACGATTAGTACTGTTATAGAATGATGTTTCGTAATGTACCGGTAAGCTCTAGTTGTGTTTCGTAACCTTTTAAAAGTTTGACGAGCTTGTAATGTAGTCGAGGGTTCAATCCTTCTTGATAATGTGCTTGTGTGTAATGTGTTACAATTAAAAAATCAGAATTACATTTGAAGGTTTCAAGATATGGTATAAATTAAATCTTTACAATGCATGATATATTCATGTTTCTACCGCAAAATTAACTTGGAGCTCTTCGTCTTTCAGTTATTACCCGGGTTCGTGGGATGAAAAGGCAGGCGGGGAGGCTCCGCCTGAATATTTGGTGCCAAATATTACGTGTCTCTTGCTCGTCGGCGCTGTAGGTTCTGGAAAAAGTAGCCTTGTTAATAAAATTTCTCGGGTGCTTGAGGATGATGTGTTTGCATCGGAACGAGCTCAAGTTTCATGTAATGTAATTTACTTCTTTATCTGTTTTTTTCTAGATGTTTAACAAAATTATAACCGTCGCTCGATTTACTTGATCGAACAGATAACTCTTCTAATGGAGAAGCTACCTATTTTCTTCACGAGTATTCAATTCCACGAGGCTCAGGTTCGTTCTGTTTATACGACACACGCAGTTTATCTGATGATTCTACTGAAAACATGAAAATGGTCGAGTCTTGGATGAAAAAAGGTGTTCGTCATGGAGAACTCATAACAAGGTGTGGTACATAGTTTCTTTTGATTTAATGAAGAAATGCCACGATTTGTTTTCCGATGGAGTTGGATCTTAACTATTGTTTTTGTCGGTGCTAGGAAATCGGACAACAAGGTTTTAAGAGCTCGGTTGAAGTGTAAGAATCGAACAACACCATCTTTTACCAAATACAGGACAGTTAACTTTGTCATATTCGTTGTGAATGCCCTTTCGATCTTGGAAGAAATGGACGGTGATGCTGAAAACAAATGGCAATACTCTCAAATGATTGCTACAAATTTCAATAACCCGTTGTTGTCATTCAAAGGTTCCGTTCCAACGAGTCCTGTTTAAAATATTACAAAGAAGTTTTCTTCAATGTCTCTTCTCTTACATTGCCCCTTCGATTCGCCTTTTTTTTTTTTTTTTGTATCTCAGATGACAAGCCTGCTGTTGTAATTACACATGGAGATCTACTGCCACTTTCCGAGCGAGTGAGAATTCGCGTTTATCTCGGGGAGTTGCTGGGAGTTTCTCCAACAGGACAGATTTTCGACATTCCAGGTACATAGTTTCGATACCTTCTGTTTTTTTCCGGAGTATATTTATAGCTGCATTGATCACTACAGGAAACGATGACCCGGACACCCAATTGGCAATAGTCGAAATGTTAGCATACTGCCTTGAACGTGCCGATAGAAATCTTTCTTTGAAAAGCCCCTTCTTCCTCAAGGTTCGGTTTCTTTCCTGAAATTTACAGTATATATTGATGATGCCGTGGAATCTTTCCCCAAATTTTGATCTGTCATTTTGGCATTTTAAGTGGACAGGAATTTATACGATCTTGTATTTAAATGCTTATGAAAAATGATATATGAGCAGTGATCTACAACATTATTAGAGTTTTAACAAGTGGAATATAAGAATATTTTCAAATGAAGTGTACTTAAAAGTTTCGGGACTAAATTATTGCTTTGATTATCATGATGATTTAGTCAAATCAGTATGGTGTTGATTTCATCAAATCAATCCATGTTTTTTAAGAATGTAGCACGTAATAATATAATATATACTACATCATATAATTACATGCAGCACAATAAGGATGCGTTTGTTTGAGGGTTTGGATTTTGGATTGAGATTTGAATAGTAAAAAATTTGAATTTGAATAGTTGTATGATGGGATATAAATAAGAATTAATGTGATATTTTGAATGTAAAATTGATTTTTAAAATAATATAAAAAATAAAAAATAAATGTTTGATTTGATGTTTTTGGAGGAAAATTTTTGTAGGAATAGTACAAATTCCACAAAATCCCTCAAACAAACGCACCCTGAGCATATTATACATCATAATACAATATACAACTCACGAATCAAATGTTAATACATTATATAACATAGCACATTATATAATTTTATGTAGCACAATATATAACTCAGACAACACATGTTTTTATATAAAATAGTATATGGTATCTACCTTGTGATGAAATGCTAATTACTTCAAATTCATATGTTGTCAATTTGAACTCCTCGCAAGATTCTAGATGCTATTTCCGAAGGATGATATTTGATCTCTATTCGCGCAGAGAAATCATGTTACAATATTCATGCTTTGAACAGGTTCTAAGATGTGTCTCCCCGGATTTGATAATTACTGTGATGTTTTTACTAATCGCCATTATCCTACGGCATGGTTTTTACCGTAGTCGGGATCCCACTTGTCCTATGCATCATCCAACAACGGGAGTGGAAGTCGAGTGGCGTAAAATTCGACATATGTGGCTGGGAGAATAGGTACGTACATGTTATGAATCTATGTCAATACATATATATATATATATATATGTATGTGTGTGTCTATCTACATGTAAATGATAAGTGAATTTATAAATGTGGTGGTGATGGTTAATAGAAGCAAAGCTTTGGTGTTGATTGATCGTCTTGATGTAAAGAAAATATAGCAAATATATTGTATTTCAAGCACAATAACCATATTATACAATATACCATAATATATATATATATATATATATAATATCATATATGCTATTTATTTTGTAATAAAGTGTTAATTGCTTGTGCTGGTTTGATCTAATCGTTGTCTATGTAAGAGATAGAAGCTAGTAAATTTTGTTAATATTTTTTATTTGTTAATTAGAGTTGATCAACATTGATTACATATTTTCTAGAATTATACTACAAGGTTTGTTTGGTTAGGTTGTGTATCATAGTTTGAATTCACGTAATAGTCTGATATTTGTATGAGAAAATACTAAATTTATTATGCTAAATATTTGGTACAATTACTAAATTAGAAAATGGTACAGTTGTTATTTTACGGACTAAAATGGAATCAGGAGTATATTTTTTTTTATTGAAAATTATAAATATTCAAATTAAATACATCAATATAGTTTTAATATTTTCATCGTATTAGAGTTATAATTTTATTTTTAAAATAAGTATGTGTGTATATATTTATTTGTTACTCATAAAAATAAGTTATATTAGATATTATTATTATTATTATTATTTAAAAATAAATTATTTTAATTATATGTATGATGCTATTTAGAATAATCATAATCGTAGTGTCATATAGAGCCGTTTGTGATAGTTATCTCAAATACTTTCTATTATATCTTAAATTTATATATAATTTATTTATAATAAAATATTTTATGTATTCTCTTTATTACTCATATTTTAATAATAATAATAATTTATTTATAGTAAAATATTTAATTTTAGCCGAGGCGGTGAAGTAGTATTAAATTGAAGAGCGAGTGCGTGTCTGTCTGAGCGCGGAAGATGGTGTAATGACTGAAATACCCCTAACAGAAACAGACAGTCATCTTCTTCGTCATGGTGTGTGCGTGGGGTCCGAACCCGACCGAAATAGGGAAGGCGACTCGGTTCTGTTCTTCCACACATTCCCAAAATTCATCCACACCACGCACCCCTACGTTCGTTTCTTTGTTTGTTTCTCTGTGGATTAATTGATCGAATTGCAATTTGCAATTGTAATTTGTTCGTTTGAAGGCAATTGATTCTCCGCTCTGCTCTCTACTCCTGTTTCCCTCTCACTCAAATTTAAGCTATTTGAATCTGATTATCGATTGCACTCTGTTGATGGGCGCTCTGGATGAATGCCATTACAATGGCGAGATCGGAAACGGAGTGTACATCGCCGATTGCGACTGCGTCGAGCTGGATTCGGACGATGAGGAGGAGGAGGAGGCGCAATCAATCGAAGATGCTGTGAGAATCCTGCTGCAAGGATTGGGCGAGGACATCCATCGCGAAGGCCTGCGCCGGACGCCTCTGCGCGTCGCCAAAGCCCTCCGCGAAGGAACACGAGGTCTCGGATTGAAATTAGAATTTGCTTCATCAGATTTCGATCTCTGCTGCTTTTATTGATTTGAGCAAATGTGGATTCGGATTAGCTAAGCTTCGTATCATCAAATCTATGCTATGCTGCCATTTATGATTATCGATATTGTTGATGTTGAAGATGCCTGCCTTAGAATTATGCTAAGAAGTAAGAACAATCTAATAAATGAATGTATGTTGAATTCTAGAGCTTGAGGTTGGTAGACTGTAAAAAATGTAGACAAGTTCTTCCTAGTTTATGGTTTGTGAATCGGAGAAAAGTAAGATTTTTTGACGTCAAATTTAGGAGCTTGATTTTGATTGATAGACTTAAATCGACGAAAAGTTCTTGAATCGGAGAAGCATGATTGTTGTTAAGATTGCGCTTACTTCGATCGGATTGAACCGTAGTTGCTTAATTCGAAGATTGTGTTTGTTTTTTTAACAATGAATTGGAGATCTTCTATTTGCCATTGTAGTTCTTCATAACAAATTGAAGTTCTTTCATATGGAGATATGAATAATTTCGGCGGCTCGGTATATGAAAGTATGTTTTGTTTTTAGTTCATAGGGTTTGTGTGTTTTTTAATCAATGAATTCGAGCTCCTTACTTTTCCACGTTGTTGATTTCGGTTATTCTTTTCATCGGCTCCTTTTGTAGTTCTTCATAACAAATTGAAGTTTTATACTTATAGAAAAAGCTAATTATAGTGTTGATTGAGTCAAATCAATATAAACATTACATGAAAATTTGGCAGACATCATATGTTTTCAAATAATACAGCACATATAGGACGTGCTACATGGACATTTGTTAATTTATTTGTTGTATTTGTATTATATTAGAGAGAATAAATTCAGCATAGTAACTTCAGTCTCTTGTAAAGCTACATATGATTTCGGTATGGTATATGAAAGTATGTTCTTTTTTTTTTTTTTTTTTTTTTTTTCTATCCAGGTTATACGCAAAAGGTGAAGGACATTGTTAACGGCGCCTTATTCCTGGAAGCCGGCTTGGAGAGCCGGGTCGGGTGTGCGGGAGGAACCGGCGGGCTTGTAATCGTTCGCGATCTCGATCTCTACTCATACTGTGAATCTTGCTTACTCCCGTTCCACGTCAAGTGCCACATCGGCTACATCCCGTCGGGCGAACGAGTCGTTGGCCTGAGCAAACTCGCCCGAGTAGCCGAAATATTCGCCAAACGCCTCCAAGAACCGCATCGATTAGCTCGGGAGATTTCCGATGCGCTACACCACGCTGTCAAACCGACCGGAGTCGCCGTCCTCCTCAAATGCACTCACATCCATTTCCCCGACTTCGAGTCGGCCATCTTCGAACCGAATCACCGAGGATGGGTCACGGTATCCGTCACGTCGGGATCGGGAGCCTTCGAGGACGAAATGGTCGATAGTTGGACCGATTTCCTCACTCTCCTCCGATTCCGAGGTACAAACATCGACGACCACATGAACCCGGTTGATAAATTGTGGTGCCCGTCTTCCTCGTCTCGTACCTTCGACACGGCGATCGATCCGGCGATGCTCAGATCGGTTTCGTCGATCCTTCGCAAATTAGGCGAGGACCCGTCGAGGAAAGAACTCTCCGAAACCCCGGCGCGGTTTCTGAAATGGCTGATGAGCTTCCGGAAGACCAATTTTGACGTGAAGCTGAACGCGATCCCTCATCGACACGATTTTATCTTGCACTCGCACGGCGGCGATCGACAGCACCTCTGCTCGGAGATGAATTTACCGTTGTGGTCGCAATGCGAACACCATCTTCTCCCATTCCACGGCGTCGTCCACATTGGGTATTATGGGTCGACGACGAGCCGGGTCACCTCTGTCGGGAAGTCGATACTGCAATCGATCGTGCATTTCTACGGGTTCAAGCTGCAGGTGCAGGAGAGGCTGACGAGGCAAATCGCGGAGACGGCGTCGACGGTGTTGGGCGAGGACACGATCGTCGTCGTGGAAGCGAATCACACCTGCATGATCTCGCGCGGCATTGAGAAGTTCGGTAGCAGCACGGCGACGTTCGCCGTGCTCGGGCGGTTCGCGACGGACCCGGCGGCAAGGGAGAAGTTTCTGCAGATTGTTCCTAAGTTTGGAAGCTGACGTGAAAGAAAGAAAAGGACAGGAAGAATGGCTATAGGGTTTGAGGAAGGGTGGAATAAAGAAAGAACTACACATGCTTCTTTGCAAGTATTTTTATTACGTATCATCGTCGTCTTTGTCCGAATTTTGAATTGCGTATGTAACTTACGTATCATAAAATTTGTTACATTGTTCGGTCACACTTGAAGTACTAAAGGACGGGAAGTACCAACTGCACGTAAATTGTAATTGATGTTAAAAGACTGAGGAAGAGAGTTTTCTTATACAATATTTTAGGAACTACCGAGAGTTTATGAAATTTAACAACTTTTAGTTTAAAATGAGATTTTATGATATTTGTCTAATTTTATTAAAAATGAAATGAATTTTTAAAAAAAAATTATTTTTGTTCATATTTATTTATTAATAAAAAAATAATTTTTGTATCGAATACAATGTTAATCTAAAAAAATATAATCTTAAAAATGGTATTGAACAATTGTAGGAGTAATTAGCTACTCTAAATTGAAATAAGAAAGCCCTAAAATTGAAAAGCTTTACTTTGTCCAAAGATCCGCATGGATTCCAATAGCGGGAACCTCCCCGGACCAAATCCTCTCCACCGCCACTGCCACCACCAGCTCCGCCGCCATCACCACGTGTTTTACATAAATCCTCACTGCCCGCTTCACCGCTCGATTTTGCAGCCGGAGAACCATTCGCCGTCGTGCTCGCTTTCAACCCTGCAAAATCCGGAACTAGTTGCGCCTACTCCATTCAACCATTGTCCTGATTTTCTCGATAATCAGCCCAATCCAACATCCGATGATTCCCTGTAAGTTTTCAACACGTCGTTTTTCTTTCTATTGAGCACTTGGACTAGTCAGTAGTGCGATTTCAATCTCACAAATATGATTATCAATCGATTTAGGAATTATGAAATTGACATTTAGTATAACCTATTTCAATATACCATTCAACTGAAGAATTGATGGAGCGATGATTCTGCTAGCATGACGTGCTTAGTAATTTCGTTGACTGTTTGTTTCCGTTTGGTTGGATTAAGGTTTATGCAAAATGAATTTGAGGATTTGGAAGTTGAGGAAGATGATGATGATGAGCCTGTGTTTGTTCTAACTGATGAATGGAGAGATTTCTTTGCAAAATCTGAGGCCAAAAGGAAACAAGGTTTTCAATCTTTTCCTTTTCATTTTACTTAGCCTATTCTAAGTGATCCTCTCTTACAGCGTTTTTTTGTGTTTATTTGCTTCAGAAAAGAAGAATGCTAAGAAGGGGAAGAAATAGAATTAGTACAAATTCTAAGATGCCTGTTTGTAGTTACATTGCAGGATCGACTATGTCTATTCGCCAGAGTCTCAAGAACTGATGAAATATTCATATCCCTTTCTTGATTTCATTTCTTGTGTTGTCTCTGTAAGGGCTTGTCAAATTGGTAGTTTTCAATGCTAATCTTGTTTTATTGCTACTCACCATATTTCCACTATCCTATAATACCCCAATTCTATTCTCAAGAAAAGATGAAATGGTCATATCCCTTTTATGATTTCATTTTTGTGTGTTGTGTATGAAAGGGATTTGTCAAATTGGTAGTTTTCAATACTAATCTTGTCTTGTTACTAATCACCGTATATCCCCTATCCTATAAATGCCCCAATTCCATTCTCAAGAAAGGATGAAGTGATCATATATCTTTGATGATTTCATTCTTGTGTGTTGTGTATGAAAGGGATTTCTCAAATTGGTAAAAAAAAATTTTTTATATATACTAATTGTGTTTTCTTACTAATTAGTACGGAAATGGTTAGGGTGCCGATTGGTGCTATGTGGATTAGCTCTAATCAACACATGAAATATAGGTAGACAACACATGACTTGAATTAACTCAGCATGTGGTTTAGACTGTTAATATGTGTTGTTTGTTCTATTTTTATACATACGATGTGTTAACATACTTTGTATTGAAATCAATTATAGTATGTGTTGTGTAGACTACTCTCAAGTGTTGTCAGTTTTTTAGTATTTGTTTTTATGTTAACAAGTATTGTCGGTTTATACCTCATGTACTGTTGGTTTTTATTTTGTGTGTTGTTAGCACAATAGCTACACTCAATCGCCATATTTCCCCTATCCTATAAATACCCCAATTCTATTCTCAAGAACGGATGAAGTGGTCATACATATATATCCCTTTTATGATTTCATTTTTGTGTGTTGTGTGTGAAAGGGCATTGCCAAATTGGTAGTTTTCGATGCTAATCTTGTTTTTCTCCTAACCACCATAGTTTCCCTATCCTATAAATAACCCGATTGGTTGATGAATTGGGAAGAAGCAAGTATGCCTTCTTCCCATCATCAAAGAGTTTCTATCTCCTCAGCTACACTATCAAAACGTAGAACTTTTCTTTCTCAGCCATCTGTCGTAGTAAGTTGATGTAGTAAGCTAAAGGGATATCTCAGGTACGTCGATGATTTCTAAATTTCAATTGTAATGGTTTTCTTGCATGTTTTGCTCTTTTCTTGTCTTGACCTTTTATTTAATTTTGGTTGGGTGTATCGATGTATTGATAGATTTTCATGTTTGCTCTGTTATTAGATTGATTAACTTCTTCCTCTTTTGTTTCATCATGAAACTTTAGATCATTCCAATTGTTGCCAATTCAGTTGTGTCTTCTTAGACTCGATTATGTTTGTAGAATCTCTGCTTGATGGAGATCGAAATTGTCTTTCTTAGTTTAGAATCTTGGAGTGTATTTAGTTTGTGATTTTGCATTTTTATATTGGTTTGAATAGTGGTTTTTACTGTATGTTTTATAAGATGAAATTGTGTATTATTATTAGAGTTGTCAAAAAGTGACGCCAAAATTGATTTCAATATGAAATAATTGGATTTAGGCCAATGATTTCAATCTGATTATATATACAGATCCTCGATACAGTAATAAATAGGTTGGTTTAGAAGCTTCAACATAATATATTAATATTGATTAATACATTTATTACATATGTATAATCATTAAAAAAAATAAAAAATTCAATTGAGTTGAATCTAAATATAATATTTTTAATAATTTTTACTATTTAGTGTGTAGTGCTATATTTTTATTTTTATTTTTGTGGTTTTTAACTTTCTTTTGGATTGATTATTTATTATTATTTGACTTATAAAAATTTTAATTTAGAAAAATAAAATAAAATAAAATAAAAAATTTAATGGATAAACATGTTGATTTTGTGTTTGTTAGGTTGGGTTTGAGTTTGAGTTTGAGTTTGTCCGGCCATCTAAGATGTTTAGAAAATTATTGAACGAGTTAACAAACCATTTTCGGATTGATTGGGTTTGAAAGAGTTGGGTTTGTGTCGTGACTTTTGACCCGTTTAAATAAACAGGTCGATTTCGTATTGAACAATAACCCATTTAAAAATTTAATCTGGCCTGCCAATTTAATTTTTTTAAAGAATCTTAATTGATGATTAAACAATAGAAAAAATGAAATTATGTTTATGTGAACATAGCCGGGATTAATTAGGATTTGTGATGTTAGGGTGTGTTTATTTGGGGATTGGATTTTAAATAAGTTACTCATCCTATTTTTTTCCCTCAAAAATATTACATCAAACACTTATTTTTAATTTTTTATATTATACTAAAAATTAATTTTATATTCAAAACATCACGTCAACACCTATTTATATTACATCATACAACTATTCAAATTCAAAATTTTTACTGTTAACTCAAAATTCAAACCCCCAACAAACACACACGTTTAATAATTTAAAGTAAATATGATACTTAGTATTAGATACAATACTTTGAATGAAAAAATATAAGTTGAGTATTATGTGTAGTTTTTAAGAATTAAATGATAGAAGACTTGTGTTTGCTTGTGACTTGAAACTAAATTAAAATTGTTTACTTTGGGTGTGTGTTTGTTTTGTCAAATAATTTTGAATGTATATTTTTTTTTTTATGAATATGAAAAAATTGTATATGAAATATAAAAATAATAAAGATATGATATATATTAATATTTTTGAAAAAATATATTTAATTTTTTGTTATCGAAAAAATAATCTTCACTAATACCAAAATGATAAAAATATAAAAAAAATTTTACATACTTTCACTAAATAATAAAATATTATTATTATTATTTTACTTTACTATAAAATTCAAAACGCACCTCTCAAGTAGGACGGAGGGTATTAAACTATAAGTTATAGATATACAATTAATATCTAAACAAAATTTTAATACAAGTAGGGTTAATTCACGTGCAATGGGCAAGTTTGTTAAAATTATTTTGCAGTATATTTATTCATTAATAAAAAAATATTGTCTCCTCTGTCCCGATTTAAAGTTGTGGGTTTTTTAATTAATAAATTAAAAAATAATATTACATTCGTCCCCGGTAAGGGTCTCATTTATTTTTACAAGTTAATTTTTTAATATTAATAATTATATTAAACGTAGTATAAATTAAAAAAAAAATTGCAAAAATACTTTCATTGGTATCTTATAATATTAATAAAATAATATTTATATAAAAATATAGGAATATTTTTAATGTGGAATACAATGACGCAAAAAATAAATATAAAACGAATTAAATGAACAATTTTTTATTAACTAGTAGAAGTATTAGTATGAAATTTATGTCTTTTGTACTTTAAGTATAAATTAATTGTATTTGTAATAATACATTTATAATTTATATATAAAAAACTAATACTATTTTTAAATGAAATATAAAAAAATAATAAATATGTACTTTAAATGTGGACGAATAGACCATTAAATATTTAATTTTTTTATTATTTTAAGATTTGTAAACAAAACAATTTCTTCAATAGGGTATGTATTCCACTATCATCTAGCTAATTGTGCAACTTTTTCTCTCTCAATCTCATTTACTATCTCCATATTGCTGTTTTGTCCGTCTTGTATCTCATGTTACTTTTTCTTTTTTTAAAAAATGATTATCTATTTTAATCTTATTTTAAATTTTCTAATTTAATTTTTTTAATTTAAATTAAATTAATTAATTATTTTAATATTAATTTATAATAATTTATATTATATATTTATTATTTTTACTAATATATTATTAATTATCTATTAATTATATTTATTCTAAATTATCGTATCTACAGTGATCAAGACACCAAATGTGAAACAAAAGTAGTAAAACAGTAAAATTATTTCATTAAATAAACAAATAAAATAAAGTCAGCATCTAGAAACTTTTCCTTTTTTTTTGTTTTTTTAATCTTCCCCATTCTGTATACATTTGACATTACACATTTATATATGCTTTACTCAGTCTGTCTGATTCCATGTCGGTGACTCGACACTGTTACTAAATCCCGCCTGTCATGTCCAGACACATCCAATCTTCATCTGGACCCGGAGTCCCGGGACCACTTCGCTCGCATCCGGGATCCCCAACTGCAACAATTACCGCCGTCCGATTTCCGCCGCCGTAGCTCATCCAGCTGCGACTGCCACCGCATTTTCCACTCCATATTTTCATGGCAACACGGCCGTGTTGAATTCGTAGTTCGAAGATTTGAAGAAGAGTAAGAATAAGGAATCCCATTGGCTAGAGCTCTATCGTACGAAGCCCTAGAGTCCGGATCGGACAGCGTCTCGTAGGCCCGGTTCAGGAGAATAAACCGGCCGGTGTACTCGTCGACCCGGTCCGGTGGAGAAACGTCCGGGTGATGCTTTCTAGCCATACTTCTGTACGCTTTTTTTATGTCGGAAAATGTACTTCCCTTCTCTGCGATTCCCAGCAGTTCGTACAGTGACTGCTGCGACTGTATTTCCGGGGCGAACCGGGCCTGGACACGGACCGGCCGGTTTTTGGTGGGAAATTTGGGTTTATTGTTTGCGAGGGAAAGGGTTTTAGGGTTTGGGCAGAATTGGGAATTAGGGCAACAGTAGATGATCATATCTGCTGCAAATTTGTAAGAATTGAAATCTTGATTTTGTTTTGGACGAACGAGGATTATGATTGAATGAAATTTGGGGTTATTTATAGGTGGGTTATGGATTTGGGAGTGGCGAAAACGATGTCGTTTTGGTGACGTGGCAATTACTAGGAAGTGCAGTGTAGTGAGAGCGTATGGTTAAGTTTTCTAACGTGTTGGCCCAACTAATTTTTTATTATTATAATTACTCATTAATACAGTTTAAGCTCATGATAAATATATATATTTTTTTATACAAATTTTGTTATTTATAAAATGATGTTTATATTATATATATTATTAAGATATAGTGTTAAGAATATTTAAGACGTTAACAATACTATTTATATAAAATTTACTAATTTATTTTATTTAAAATAACATTTTTCTAACCAAATAAATCATTTGATGTGTGATGGATGGAGTATTATTTAAAAAATATAATATGTATTTACAAAAATCATAAATTAAATATAAAATGTTAGTTTCATGTATTATGTCATGTGGCTGGTAAAAAAAATTATAGTATTTTAATTTTATATTTTATAAAAGAAATAATATATTTTTATTAATAATAAATAATATTATTTTTTGCTTGAGGTTCAAAACCAAACAATCTACTATCTCTGTTGTTTAAACATATCAAAACTTGATAAAATATTATTATTTTTTAATATATTACAAAATTTTAAATATTTATTTTTTATTAAGAGAAAAGAAATACTAAAATTTAATTTTATATTTAAAATATCATATTAATTTATATTTATATTAAATCAACAATTATTAAATTCCAAATTATTTCTATCCAAATTAAAAATGAAAAAAAATCAAAACCGAGAAACAAACCCACTTAAGTTATGTCTGTGCATGTTGTGGGCGTACGGACAGCCATTTCAGAATGCAGTGAGCCCAGCCGCTGTTTTCATTTATATATTTATTTATTTATATGTTTTTTTTTTAAAAAAAAGAGTTGTTTGCTCATAATGGGGACAACAGGGCAAAATAATAGTGCTGTTGTACAATGTTTTAAATCAGAAAATATTATATTATTTAGTTTATAATAATATTATTTATTTTTCAATATTTAAAAGTTCAAAGTATTCGAACATTTTGAAATAATAATAATAATAGGGCCTTGTCACTTTCCAATAAAATAACATAATTAGATTAGATTCCACAATTTCCCAGAAGGTCCCGCACGAATCCCATTATTTTTGAATGCTTTGCTTCTTAATTAATAATAATTTACTATTAGTTAAAAACACCAAAAGAATCTGATTTCAATCTAATGGCTTTGGTTAAAGTTTTGCCAGTTTGGGAAGAAATATTAAAAAAATACTTATAATAAATAATCATGCGCCTTACACCAAACACTGCTACTTACTTACTCTACATGCTAATTAAATCAATCTTATTATTATTATATACTTCCATCTCAATTTAATTAATCATTTTTTTTAAAAGTATATCAATAGATAATACTATTTTATTGGTGAGATGATATATGTAAGATAGTTTTGATATTTTTAATTTAAAAAAATATACTTCCTCCGTTCCGTAAAAAAGTTATCGTTTACATTTTTGCAGGTAGATGTTTTACTATTAGTATTATATTGAATTATAATAAAAAAAGACAAAAATACTTATATTAGTATTGTGTAATATAGTATAAATTGAAAGGTTATTTATTATGTTAGCCAGGTAGTACAATTACTACATTAGAGAATGATAACTTTGTTTTGAGATAGACGAAAATAGAAAATAACAAACTTTCAATGAGAGGAAGGAAGTATATATATATATATATATAAAAGATATTATGAATTTAAATATGATTAATTTTACTTATATTAAAATTTGATACTTGTTAAACGAACAAAAATGATAAAAATTATACATTGAGTCCGAACAAAAATAGTATTATATATTTATACTATGTTAACATACGTCTTGTTAAAATTAGTTATGTATTTTACAAACTATTATTATATGTAAGTATTACTTACTCCTTCCGTCTTTTAATTTTTTACTCAATTTTTTCCTTTTTTTTTATAGTAATATATAAAATTGTATAATTTTTTATTAAAAAATAAAATGATAGTATTTTTAGAAGACTAAAAAAATGCACACTTTAAGATACTAGAGAACTATTAATTTGTATCTTATATTGAAATTAATCGTGACAGACATATACAGAGTTTGTTTATCAAATTTATTTTTGGATGACACAGTTCTTTTTGGATGACACAATTTTCTATAAGGACTACTAAATAAAATTATATAATATATATCAATGTAAATAGTACATATTATATATATTTTATTCATCTAAAAAACAAATTAATAATTCGATATAAAATATTATTTTTTATATTATCGATACGATTCTTTATATATTTAACATAAATTACATTTATCTAAAAATAAAAACACTTTTACAAAAATAATGATATCTAAATATAAAATAACTCTAATTTTTACAAAAATATTTATTTCAATTATAATAAAGGTAATGATATCTAAATATAAAAATAACTCTAATTTTTACAAAAATATTAGTAAAATATTAGTTGATATCTAAATAATATTTTTTTAAAAATTTATTATAGAAAAATAAAAAAATACATTGAATTGAGTTAAGTTGAGTTGGAATAAAAAATGTATATATTATTAATATACATATGTCACAATTTTTTTATATAAGAAGAGACAAATTCTTCTCTTAAAAACATTGCATCTAAACTCTAATTAAAACAAATAGAAAAACTCATACAAAGCCAAATCCTAAATAAACAATGAGCAAGTGTTACATTTTTTAATTTTATTTTTATTTTTTATTTTATATAACGGTGGTTTTCAAAAGTGTCACTCTATGTGGATGTGAAAATATTATAATCTTAAAAATATATATATATTAGTTTTGTAATGTCAATAATGTGACCACTAATTTTATTTTCTCCATATATAACTATTTTTTCCTAAAAATATATTACATTCGTCTATTCACAAAGTAGATGTATTTTTATTTTTTATTGTCTAATTACAAAGTAATTATTTAAATATATTTTATTTTTTCCACAAATACTTCATATTTTACTATCATATCGTTATTTTTACGCCAAAAAATAAATATAAGATTATATTTGTACTATTTTTAATTACTTTATACTACTAAAATACAATTATTTCTTAAATTTTACGCTAAAAATAAGTATATATTTATTAGTTTGACGGAGAGAGTATATATTATACAAATATTTATGTTATATCGAAATTTTACTTTTTCAACCATTTCTAATTTTTAGTGCAATAAAGCACACAAATGAATGATAATAATAATAATAGAAAGAATCTTTAGAGATAGATTAATAGTAATATTAATAAATATGTTGACTTTGATTAAAGTGTAATTTATGATGTTAAAAGTTTTTGTATATTCAAGTCAACTTTTATTAAATCAAAATTATACATAGATATTTATATCATTTAAATAATACTTCAAAATGTAAAAATATATTTGATAAATAATACTCCCCCCGTCCCACTTCTCATGTCTACCTTTTCATTTTCGTCCGTCTTACTTATTTTGTCACAATTATACACTTTAATTTTATTTTTAAAAATTTAATTTTTAATTTTTTTAATTTTAATTATACTAATCAATTATCTTAATCTTAATATATAATTATTTTTATTATACGATAATTATTTTCACTAATATATTTTTAATTATTTATTAATTATACTATTTTTAAATTCTCGTGTCTACGGTAATGCAGTCAAATTATCCGGGACGGAGAGAGTAATTAATACTACAACTGTTTACTGAAAATAGACAATTTGTCTACAAATAATAGAAAGTAATGTTTTTTTTTTAGCTTTAAATTTTAAATGTGAATAATTGTTTGATAGAAAATAAATGGCAGATAATTATAATATAAAAAATAAAATCATAATAATTTAATTTGATTATTTTCAAGAAAAAAGTGTAAACTGTGAAAAAAATTATAAAACAAAAACAAAAACCTCTAAACAAATACACAGCTAATGTCAACACATAGATATTTAGCACACTATATTTATAAACAACACATATTACGTTTAGTTTGTATTTTGATTTAAATAATATTTTTATTAAAATAGAGTTTTTTACTCAGAACTTATGGATAAGATTCGAAAGTGTCAAATTATTAAATTCATAATCTCATGATTACAAATTTATCTCGCACCACAAAGTTATTTGGGCTCCGAGCCAATTCGACAAATTTATTTTATTTTTTTTAAATAAAAAATACTTCATTTTAATAATTAAATATAAAAAGTAAACGTTAAAGCACAATAAATATATATATATATATGCTTCTAAAAATAAGAAAAATCAAATGTTGGTGGTGGTTTATAGTAATGACATTGATTGCGATGCGACAGTAGTTTTGATTGTAAAGAAAATTGAAGAATAAATAAACTTAAAATTAAATTTGATATGAATTAAAGTTCTATTTTATATTTAAAATTTTTAAAATAAATAAATAGTATAATTTATATTATTTAAGTATATATAAATTATAATAATTATTAAAATATTCGAGTCCAAATCCGATATGGAGTGGAGTGGGTTTTCAATAAAAACCCGTGATCCACTTTAAATCGGACCGAACTTAAAACTTAAAATTTACAATCTACTCTGAAACATAATGTTGGATCTAAACTCGCCCATCAAGAGCAAATCCGGGACTAATCCGCCTCATTGACGTCCCAGAATCAAACCAAAATTTTGTAGAATTTTCAATTTTCTTTAATTAGATCATTTTGCAATGTACATATGTATAATTTCTTTTATTATTATTATTATTATTATTATTATTATATGTATTTTAACAATAAAGTAAAACTTCCACATGGACTCACCAGCGTTGGGATTGGCAAATCATCGTTTTTATGTATTTTAACATAAGCTTATAAAATATTATACTCCTCAGTTCCTTATTTTGGTGTTTGTATTTTTTGTTTGATACAATATAAATAAATATGGATATTATATAATACCAAATAACTTTTAAAATAATAAAAAATAAAAAATTAATATTTTTTGAAAAAAATATTATTAATAGTAAAAATAACCCTTTAAAAAACTTCAAACAAACACAGTCTTAAATACTCCTATTTTATTTGAATTCTCCTCCATCATTTTTTACTATATCTGCCACACATGGTTCGTTTAGTGTGAATTTTTTGTTGGATTTAATTTGCAGGATATTAGGTTCGGTCGGAGGTTTACCCAATACGCACTTTCGGGTAGCGGCGACAGATTCCTTAGTCGTCAAAAAAAAAAAACTTAGAATGAAAGTGCTACCTCTAAATATAAATTTTTGCACATTATTATTATTATTATTATTATTATTATTATTATTATTATTACTATTATATTGTTTATTAATCGAGCTCTTTGGATTGGATCAAGGGAAGTTAAATTATTTGATGTACGTAAGTCAGATTTGCTGTTGTCAGTTCTTATTAAATCAAATTAAATTAAATTAAGAAATTATTATTACTGTCCATCACCCAATCGATGTATCATAAAGACAGTTTTACACATTCAATAATTATTGATTAAAATAAAGTTCCAATGTCAACACTTCTCAAAAGTCGTTTGCTAGATTTTAATTACGTATTATTTATTCTATTTACATAAAATTATTTAGAGTTTTGAAAAAAAAAAAAAATTAATAAAAAAATTAGTAATTAATATAATATTTTGTGATATATATATTTAATTGATATTTTTTATTAAAAAATTACTATTGATGAATATTATTTTTTTAAAAAAAATTGTCTATATAAAGCGAACCATAATTTGTCGGCTCCAACAGTTGTATAAATTTATTTTGAATAGAAAGAGTCAAAAGTGAAAGAAAAATGAAATATGGAAGTTTTTTTTTTTAAAAAATTAAAAAGAAAAGAAAGAAAAAGTTCATATTTTTATTTTAGATTCAAAATTCTATTTTTTTGTGTTTGTTCATTTTTATTTATTTATTCACCTTTTTTTATTTTTTATATTAATGTAATTTCGTAGTTTTCTTTGAAAAGTTTCACGTTAAACACTAATTTGCATCAAACAACTAGTTTATTACCAAATGACCTAAAATCATTTTAGAGTTTATTTACTTAAAGTTTGATTTGTATTTTTAATTTGAAGTATTTTTTATGTCAAGTATTAAAAAATGTATTGGTAATTAAGTATAATATATATTTTTATTAAATTATTAATTTTGTGACTATGTAGAATATATATTATATATTTTGTTCCTACATATATATTAGTAATATTAATTGAGAAACGTGTAAAAAATATATTGAGTGAATACAACTGTATTTCAATTATTATTATTATTATTTATTTTTGCGACTGAGCTAATTAATATTAATATGATATAGTTCGTTTCAAACCAAGCTCACACATATTTGTTTTTTAACTTCCTCAAAAAATGCCTCGTATAAGGTATTAAATTTTTTTCAAAATTTTCATGTTGAACTTGAATTCGTACCATAACATAAATAGTCTGTTTTTATTATTTTTCTTCTATTATCTTGAATTATATATATATGTCTATACTTCAATAAAATATATTTAATACTTCATTCGTCCGTGAAATCGGACATGATTTTTAATGATAAGAGGCACATGTTAAAAAAAAAAAAAAAACGACGATAGATTGGAATGAATAATACAACGATGTCGAAGTCAAAGTGATTTTTATATTTAGTTGGCTCCTGAGTCAATAAGCTTCACTTAACTAATTTGATTGGCTTAATTCATTTTTTTTTACTGTTCTACTTTTGAGTTTATTGGGCCAACCTAATATCTGTTAATTCAACCTCTGCACCAGTAGTTCATTCCTTACGGGACAAAATTAGTTTATTTATTTTGGGTGATCGATTTTTAATTTACCAGTTGATTTTGAATTCACTCATTTGTGTTGAACGTGAATTCGATCTATTTGATAAATATGCAATTCAAATTGAAATATTTGAATTTGAACATTTTTTTTTTTTTCAAATATATGATTAATTTAATTTGAAAATGATGATTGCTTCATCCAGTGGGCCTTCGACGCTGGTGTCAGATTCAGGCTGCTGGATTGGATTTGTATTATTTAATTTATTTTTTTTACTTTTGGGCCTTTTTTTTAAGCCCATCCAATTTTGTTATCCTCCTCTATTAATATAGATTACAAAAAATAAATAAATAAATAGCTATTTTATTTGTTTTTATTTTTATTTTCTTATATTACACCTCTCTTTAATTTAAATTAAATTATGATTATAAAATTGACGAGATTGTCTTTGCTATTATTTAGCATTTGCTACGAACCATGTAAATACTGTTTATAATGTGCAAAAAGGTATATATATAGTTAATCTATATTGCTCTTCCATAGTTTTATCAATAATTAGATTTAAATTACTGAATTGTGAATATGAAATTTGTGTCGGATGCTAATGACGGTCTGCAAAACTTGCACATGCATATGCCACAAATGGGGACGGACGGATACCATGTCGGATGCTAATGACCTTCTCACCTAAAAGCTCAAACTTGTTAGGAAAACTAAGACATTAGTTACATATCCCGCAAACGGGAGTCCCCAACAATTTGTATATCAAATGAGTAGAGAAATTATGATAGTTTGGGTGTTCTTCCAATAAAAATTTTTTGGCATGCTTCCCGGGTAATATTATAAAAAGTACAGCATATATTTATACAAAATATATAATATTTACTTCATCCATTCAATAATTTTAATAATTTAACATAAACTATTATTTTCATATTACCTGAAACATTTTTTTATAGATACTATAAAAAAAATACACTTCAAACTAAAATACAAAATAAACACACCTCTGCATAACTTCAATATATAATACTCTTTCCCTCTCACGTACCATGTCCACGTTGCAGTTTCTATCCGTCTCACATTCATTTTTTGGAAAATAATTATATACTTTAATCTCATTTTAAATTTTTTAATTTTTTTTTATTTTAATTAACATAAGTAGTTATCTTCGTACATTATTAATTATCTACTAATTATCGATATGGTTCATAAAATATTCTGATAGTTTTATTATAATGGAAATGTACAAACGAAAATGTTAAAAAAAAAAAAAAAAAACATTCAATTTAGAAAAAAAAAAAGAAAAAAGATTTACTAGTATTTATTTACGTATGTGTTTAATTTTCAATCCATGCGCGTTGGAGTTAGTCCCCAAATCCCAAACTCCCAAAGGTTTAGGGTTTTAGCACACTGAAAAGCATCACCGTTTAGGAACTCCTTCGTCGCCATTTCTGGTGATTTCATCTCTTTCAGATTCACGATCGAATCGCTGTACTCAGCTCTCTCCTCCTCCTTGAAGCCGCCTGCGCCGTCGCTAGCTATTAGTGCTTCGAGAATTTTCTGTTCGTGTTGCAGCTGTCCATGGCAAGAGGGTCGGCAAAACGGTTGCTTTACTTGTATTCCTGCAAAACCAGTAATCCTTTTAAGGTTAGATGTTTATTTTCGCGTAGCCTACATCGAATCTCTTCGACGGAACCTCAAATCCCTAACCAGTTACGGTTGCCAGTAGCGCAATTTACCCAATCGACGAAATTCGGCATTTTTACTGATTTTCATAAACATTACTTTTGCACACTTCCTGAAAAACCTTCTTTAGATTCGACGAAAGCTAATTTACTTGAATCTCAATGTGACCAATCTGTAGAAGAAGAAAAGGTTCTCGTTTCTGAAACTGATTATGTAGAAACAGGAGAAAAGAGAACAGGATTTTCCGAAGAAATTACAGAAAAGGATCCCGTGGAAATATATAATGGGCTTAAAGATACTCTTGAAGGCGACAGACAATCCCGCAGTGATTGGGATACTTTGACTGAAATTTTTAGGTGTTTTGCAGAATCCGCCTGGGCTTCCGACCAGGCTCTAGCAGTGTATATTGGTGCCTCCTTCTTCCCAACTGCAGCTCGAAAGTTTGGAAATTTTTTCATGAAGAAGAGTAAGGCTGATTTAGTTAAGCATCTTGTATCCCTCAGCGCCGGTGATCAGGCAGACAAGTTTTTGTTCCCAATTTTCGTGGAGTTTTGTATGGAAGAGTTCCCTGATGAAATAAAGAGGTTTAGGAATTCTGTGGATTCGGCCGACATGACTAAGCCACATACATGGTACCCCTTTGCTAGGGCGATGAAAAGGAAGATTGTTTATCATTGTGGCCCGACGAACAGTGGGAAGACGTATAATGCGCTGCAGAGGTTTATGGAGGCGAAGAAAGGCGTGTACTGTAGCCCTCTTAGATTGTTAGCAATGGAGGTTTTCGATAAGGTGAATGCATTAGGGGTTTATTGCAGTCTCGTTACAGGGCAGGAGAAGAAGGTGTTTCCTTTTGCAAACCACATTGCCTGTACTGTTGAAATGGCATCAACGGACGAGTTATATGATGTAGCTGTAATCGATGAAATTCAAATGATGGCTGACCCGTATCGCGGCTATGGATGGACTAAAGCATTGCTTGGACTGAAGGCTGATGAGATACATTTATGTGGGGATCCGAGTGTTTTGAATGTAGTTAGGAAGATCTGTTCGGATACTGGCGATGAACTCGTGGAGCATCATTACGGCAGGTTCAAACCTCTTGTGGTCGAGGCGAAGACACTCCTAGGAGATCTGAAAAATGTGAGGTCAGGAGACTGTATCGTGGCGTTTTCTAGGCGAGAAATATTCGAGGCTAAGTTGTTGATTGAGAAGTTTACAAAACATCGATGTTGTGTCATATATGGCGCCTTGCCACCTGAGACTCGTCGTCAGCAGGCCTCTCTGTTCAACGATCAAGGCAACGAGTTCGATGTCCTGATTGCCAGCGATGCTGTAGGAATGGGCCTGAATTTGAATATTCGAAGAGTTGTGTTCTATAGCCTTTCCAAGTACAATGGAGATAAAATGGTTCAAGTGCCGGCATCTCAAGTGAAACAGATTGCTGGAAGAGCGGGAAGAAGAGGAAGTCTGTACCCGGATGGTCTTACGACTACCCTAAACCAAGAGGATTTAGATTATTTGATCGAGTGCCTAAAAAAGCCTTTTGAGGAAGTTAAGAGAGTCGGGCTATGGCCTGTCTTCGAGCAAGTTGAGTTATTTGCAGGGCAATTTTCTGATTTGAAATTCTCTCAACTTCTTGAGAAATTTAGCGAGAATTGCCGGCTTGATGGATCTTTTTTCCTGTGTCAGCATCAGCACATAAGAAAAATCGCTAATATGTTGGATAGGGTTCCGGGATTATCTTTAGAAGACCGTTTCAAGTTTTGCTTCGCTCCTGTCAACGTCAGGGATCCGAAAGCAATGTACCATCTTATGAAATTTGCTTCCACGTATTCTCTGAAACTTCCTGTCAATATAGCTATGGGAATGCCGAAAGGAGCTGCTAGTAATGATTCCGAGCTTTTGGATCTTGAGAGTAAACACCAAGTGGTGTCGATGTACATGTGGTTGTCGAATCATTTTGAAGATGAAAGATTTCCGTATGTTAGGAAGGCTGAGCTTATGGCCGTGGGGCTTGCAGAATTGTTGGGTGAATCTCTCATCAAGGCGAACTGGAAGCCGGAGTCGAGACATGTGGGGAAATTGAAGCCTAAGGAAAAGGAAAATGTTGGAAAGGAAGAAAAGTTTAAGCTTCAAGAGAGGACAGATGAAGAAAACTCGAAGCTTCAAGAAAAGAGCGGCGATTATGAAAGGCCAATGTCGTTGATTAAATCTCGCCAAAAGTGAGTTGCTATGCATTAATGCTGTTGCAGATGATGTTCAAATTCCATGGAGTTTCTTAAGATTATCGGGAGAAGGATGCTATGGTCTATAGATTTTGTTTCTTTACGTTGATTTAGTTGTGTGATTGGCACTAACTGGTTCGAGAGGTGAAGCCACAAACCGAGCTGGGAAATTTATCATGGTTCATAAAACATGCCAAGTTGAATAATTTGGTCATTTTTTCGATAAAAAAGCCCCATTTGTGTTGAAAAATGATTAGTCGTCTGTTGGAATGCTAAACTTACTCACAGCTTCGACTGATCTTATTATGCAGAAAAAGGCAAGAGCACGCAGGGCTTCCCGGGAACATAGCTGCATAAGATCTTGCGCTGAAGGTAATGAAGTACGAACCTGTTCCTTGATTTGGGGCTTGTTTGTTTAGTGTTTATACTTTTTAAGTGTTTTTGTTGTTAGTTATGGAAAATTGTGAAGATATTATAGGAAATAGTATTTTGTGTGTTTGAATTGTCGACTTTTATTATATACTTGTAGTTGTTAGACTTTTATTGAATAGTACTACCGACTTTTTTGTCCTTGTGTTTTAATATGATGTAGTAACTAGTAAGTGTAAGTTTGAGCATATCTATAAGGCAGAGTTGCTCATATTCCACTGTGATTTCGAAACTCAGCGTAAAACCTCTGTATTTTAAAAAACGTTAATGAAACCCCTTTTTACAGTTTTTATATGATATGAAGATGATTTCCGATCTATATTTTTTTGCATGATGGAGAGTTTCATTCAATATTTTTGAAAGTATAAGAGAGCATCACTCAATTTTTAAAGTATTGAGTTTTGAAGCCACAGGGGAATTCTGATCAATTTTCCTATATATAATGTATAGTGTGGTCAAACTTGCTAGAAAAGATAAATGTAAACCTTATGTTTGATCAGACAAAAATGAAAAGTGTAAACATTTTATGTGGATGTAGGATTGGGTAATATTTTTTCATACCGGCGCTCTTTTCATCGTGTCATTGCCGTAAGTAAATGTAAGAAGTGTCGATTGTGTTCTTGCATTCTCGTGAATATACATTACATTTCCATTAAAACATGTTTGCTCTTTTTATAGATGATACAACTTTTTCATGCACTTGTTGACTTAATTGAATCTGCACGACTCAGCGATTTAAGTTATTGCCTTGTTTGATCAGCTAAAAGGGACAATGTAATTGTTGACAGGGGTTGCCGGGAGAATTATCTTGCTCGATTTCTAGAAAGCATTTCTCCTCGGCACAACTGATCCGGTCGGAGTTTTTGCAAGGTGTCGTAAAATTCAGCTGATAGTAATGTAAGTTTTTGAATTGTGCTCTTTAATATGCAGAAGTAAGGTAAATCATATGTGTTTAATTTGCATTGTTTTAATTCCGAATAGGTTTTAAGGAAAATCGAGAGATTGAATGGTAAAAAATATAATACAAAAAAATAATTAAAAATAATAGAAACTAGTGTAGGCCATAGGAGGGTAGCCTTGGCCTTAATTAATTTCTATGGCATTCATTCTTCAATAGTTTGGCGGACCTATTTATTTTGATTTTTGCACCCATAGAGTTATGGCATTTTAGAATAGCTTAGGTTTCAACAATAGGTTTGCCTTCATAATTTCTTCATTTAATTAATTAATTATGTAGTTAATATTAGTATTTTTCATTTCCTAATAGTTTTGTAATTGTATTTTTGTAGAATAAGTTTTTTCCTGGCTATTTGTATAGATTAAATAGTTAAAAGAATATTAAAAGCAATAATACTAATAAGGATTATACATGATTGTTTGGTTTTGGTCCAAACGAAATTAATATTTAGTAAAAGTGTGTATGTTTTGATATTATTGTCATGTAATTGTATATTTAATAATATATTAGTAGTTTAAATAAAAATTCAAGATATTTTAATATTAGTGTATATTTATATTTACTAAAAAAAAGGAAAAATTTTATTTGAGTGTAAAAAAGACTATTTTGAATAAGGATGGATGAAATATTATTTAGTTCATGTAAAAATAATTAAAAAATCGTGTGATTTTCTTAAAGAAAAAATAAAACAAAACTTTTATTTATTTATTTATAAGAAAGAGAGTATATATATATAAATATATTTAATATCATATCAAAATTTTTATCTAATTGAATTTTTAAAATGTATGTATCACTCTTTGTGAAAATGACATTTTTTTTTAACAAATATTTATTCATTATTAGGTTTATGGTGGTTTTAGTTGGTGGGCTATCCCGTAACTGTACTATCTGCCACGTGCACTAACAATATGTACATTTTTAATTATATTTTTTTGTGTGCTAATAAAATATTTTATATTTTATGATTTTTTTATTTAATAAATGTAAATTTTACACTATTAATAATTTGTTTGGCAAATTGTTTTTTTTTTTTTTTAATATGATTTATTTTTGTATATTATTTTTTATTATATTTAATCTGATATTTTTTAAAAAATAAATAGAGTCAAATCTAAAAATGATTGTTGTGTAATAAAATATTTTAGAAAATATTGGGAATATTAAAAAACATAAAAATATGGTTTGTTTGTTTTGTCAAAAATTGAATTCGTATTTTATAATATATTATATTTTTGTTATTTTTATATTGTGTACATAATTTTTTATATTTTAAATTTAAAAAAAAATTTAAACTATTTCGCAAAAGAAAGAAATCCGTTAGTCACATTTTTTTTACTAGATTCTAATATATATTAGTTTATCTTCGTATAAAAGTCAATACTCAATATAAAGTAGTAATTTTTTTTATTTTTTATTACCAACATTATTTTTTATATTTTACATAAAAAATTCTTTAAATCATAACATTAAACAAGCCCGTAATGTTTTACTGAAACAATTTAATTTAGGGTGTTCTTTTACCCTATAAATACATATTCTTTTAAAAATATTAATATATTATATGTATTCATTACTTTTATATTATATTTCTATATTTAACTAAAAAAATAAAATATCTTTAAATTATTTCACAAAACTAAAACTCCATTAGTATTTATTTAAAAATTTATTATCGACCAATGTATGTATAAACAGATACCCTATTCATCAATCCCTTAGTTGCAAATTAATTATATGTCATTTGATTGGACATAAATTTTAATAAAAATTAGTAATAATTATCATCTCTTTTCTTCTATAAAAATATGAAAGTGTAATAAATTTTTATTTAAAAAGAAAACAAAATTATTCTTTTATAACAACTTAAAAAAGAAAATAATAAATTTTTTGTAATTTTGAAGTTTTATTTTTCACAATTTTAAATTCAAATTAATATTATTCATTATCCACCATTTTTAATAAAATATATTATACCTTATAAAATATCAAATTAAAATAATATTAAAATAAATACATTCGCTGAATTTTTCAACATTATTTTTAAGTTGTGATTTTTCAAAAATAATAATAATAATAATAACAAAATATTTTATATAAAAATAAAAAAATAAAGAAAAACTTTAAATACTCTTATAAAAAGTTAAAAAATATTTAATTTAAAATAATATATATTATATTTTAAATACAATACTTTATATTTCAAAACTAAAAATCCCAAAATATTGATACTTACAACTACATTCCAAATCCTTCAATTGGTTGACTGTAAAATTAGCTGCTTCATCAATGCAGTCAAAAGGACGGTAAACTCTCTCAGAAGCTCCAGGGACTCTAGCACCAGACAAATCAACACCGTTCATTCCATTCAATCAACGGCCTCCATACATCCAGCAGTAGCCCACAGCGAAGCCCGTCAGTCACACTCAGACAGATTACCAAAATCCCATGTCGAATTCCAGAAATCCATCCATCGGCCTAACCGCGCATTGAATTCTTCGTTACGACGTCGTTTTGATGGCATAACGGAAACGGTGCCCCATTTCCATTCATTGACTGCAGCAGCGGCAGTGCATGCCCTCTTCGTGTCGCCAAATCCTCGCTGCTGCGTGCGCAAATTAATCCCCAAATTTCCTTCAAACCCTAAAAAAAAAAAATCAATTGAAGGGAACGGAATATGGGGAAGAAGAGGAACGCCCCGCTGAACAAGGTGTTCGCTTGGGTCCGGCGGCAATCGACGAAGGTGAAGACCGCCATGGCCGCGGCGGCCGTGCTCTTCTCTCTGGTGGCTCTCAAGCTCCTCATTCACGACCACAATCACTTCTTCGTTGCCTCCGAGGCCATCCACTTTACAGGAATTCTGGTCTTGATTTACAAGCTCAGCACTCAGAAAACCTGCTCTGGTAATATATATATGATTGTTTCAATTGATCGATTTTCTGTGTTTTGGATGGATTTGATGTTTTTAAGAGTTGAAGATTTTCTGTATGCGTTTGATTTGGTTTTAAGTTTGGGGTTTTATGATCTTCTGTTGTTTTCTTGTTCATACTGTGGGTTATCCAATTGTTAATTTTCCCTAATTTTTCTAATCAACAGAAAGGGGGATTTTGATTTCTCATAATTTTTTACTATGTGTGATGCAAAATTCAGAAAGGTCAATTCGATCAGTGGTCTGAATTAGTCCTTGTTCTTTGTTTTGTTTTGTTTATTCCAAAGATTCGATTGTTTTGACGATCCTTTGACCTGCTGACAGTGGTAAAATATTTAGGCAGCCATCCTTTTTCTTGGGAATATATATATATATATATATATGTATTCTTCGTCTGTGAATTGAAACGATATGTGTATAGCTAGGCATGGAGACTAATAAAAAATTAGTATTTACTTTATAAGTAAAAGTTACCGAGGGTTATTTTGAGATATTTAATAGGGAAATGTGTTCAATATGTAATGACAATGATAGATTGCTATTTCAGAAGTTTAAGAGATTGATATTTGATAATATTAAGTTTAAAGCTCAAATTATGTCTGTTTGATTGTTAGTCTCCACAGATTTATGTAAGAATTACTTTGAATTTTCCTATAGTTAAGAAGCATTAGTGCAAGATTTTGTCTTTAGATAGATCAAGAAATGATGAATTTTGAATAAGCTACTGATTGATTGCAGTTACTCTGATTCAATTGATTGTTTTTGGGTATTATTGTTGTTATTTGTCTTTTTTGTATGTGTTGTGATGCCTGCAAGAAATTTGTTGCATTTCTGTAAGAACTCTGCAGCTACGGTTTTCATCTTAAATGTGGGTTAGGAATGAGAAAATTTATTTTTGTTGGGACAGCCAGCATCTTCTATGTACTATGGTAGAACACACGGTTGTCGTCTATTGTTTTTGGATCATGTTGGATTTCTTCTAATTTCTACCACTAGTCCGAAGTGTAAAAGAACATTGTTCTTGATTTTGCTATTTTTTCTAATGTATTGCTTATTATTTGTTTTTAGGCCTTTCACTGAGAAGTCAAGAACTTACTGCGATATTTCTGGCGGCGAGATTGATGTGTAGTTTGTTCATGGAGGGAGACATTCACACTTTTCTCGACTTTGTGACGCTCGTGTCAACTTTGTGGGTCATATACATGATGCGAATCAAGTTGAGGTCGACTTATGTTGAAGAGTTGGACAATCTGCCGTTGCACTATGTGGTAAAGTTCTTTATCTTGTCTTCATTTTGCTTTATTTTTGTCATAGATTATGCTAAAAAGTTGGACTGTACGATAGAAAGGTATACATGTTTGGAGATGAATATATACATTTTAATTTTTATTGAAGTATAAAACCTAATCATCAAAATTTACTATCCAGCCCAAAACTATTAAGGTTTGCGTAGAGTTGTAATACAAATGGTACTTATTTGTAATTTGGCGTTGTCCCGTTTGTCTCGTTCGATCTTAGTAAAAGTTATTATGATAAATTACACAAACCAAGCTTGAAGACAAAACTTGGCTTGTATAGTTTGCAAGTGAGCTCGATGGGATACTAAGATCCAATAAGATTCTCATCAAGTGTTATAAAGGTCTTAATTCTTAAATGTATGGCAAAATAACGATTGCAAAAGTTCGAAAAGGCATATCTACTTATTTATAGTTTGTTTAGCCTAGGTGGTACAAGGAGGTTTACTTGTCTAATGAACATAAAAACTCAAACTCGAACTACCTTTTCAACTTTTATCGAGTAATGATCGATCTCAAGAGTCATAATAATTGCTGATTTCAAACATGAAAAGTGCATTATAGTTCAACTTATTGAAAACTCATGTTGTTTGATATAAATTGCCTTCACCTATGAAAAGTATTTTTATTTACCATCTTAATTTGTAATACCCCTTAGTTGGATGGAGAATAAATGAATTCATTAGGTTACTCGTGTACGGATTTTATTCGGGAGCTCACCTGAAAGAATCCTGGAATTAAGTGTGTTTGAATAATTATGAATCGATTAGGTTACTCTTTTGCATATTTCTTTTCGGGAGCTCATCTAAAAGAATTTTAAAGTTAAAACACTTTTTAGTAATTTCCAAATGTTTGTTGGGTGAATTATCGTTGTTGTGTCCTTCAGCGGGAGACTGTGTAATACTCCGATGAGTTTACTAAACCCTAATATGTACGGTTCATGGATAAAAAAAATAAAAGTATATTGCAAACAATTGTCCTATTTCTTTGTTCCTTGTTTTGGCAGGCCGCACCATGTGTGATTTTAGCGTTGCTCATCCACCCTTACACTCATCACATGCGTATTGGCCGAATGCTTTGGGCCTTTGGCGTGTACTTAGAATCTGTTTCCGTATTGCCCCAACTTCGGATGATGCAAAACACAAAGGTTCATTAAAAAGAAGAAAGGAGAAAAATGTGTTAGCTTTACAACTTTACCCATTGGTTGTTGATATCAACAATTTTTGGTTTAACTCTTCAGTTTTTGGTGTCAGATGATCGAACCATTTACAGCCCATTATGTGTTTGCACTAGGTGTTGCAAGATTCCTCGGATGTGCTCATTGGATCATTCGGGTAAGTGTCCGAGTAATATATATATATATATGTGTGTGTGTGTGTTTGTACGGGGACGGATATGTTAGTGTTGATTAGTCTTCATTTCAGCACAATAAATCAATTATATAGCACGTCACACTATATAACCTACACAATAAATGTTAATACAATATATAACACATATTTTGAAAGCACTATATATGATTTTATGTAGCATAATATATTGTGATTTCAGTATAATAAGCAGACTATACAACATAGCACAATATAACAATGTATGTTATTTGTATTGTGATTAAATGCTAATTGCTTCAATTTAGTATGTTATGTTAATGTGCATCTTGTACTATGAATTTACGGCTCATTTGTTGTTGGTTTATATGTTATTACGGCTGATTAGCACTCTGTCCTTAACAATAATGAAATGAATACGATGCAACGGCAGGTATATGAGTCGGGGGGAAGTTACTTGTTCTTGGTCGGGACAGGTTACTTTTGGCTCCCGACGGTCCTCATTGCGGAAATTGTCCAGACATTCATCCTGGCTGACTTCTGCTACTATTATGTCAAGAGGTAATGTAATTTAATAAATCAGATTCATTCATTTGATGTATTATTATTTCCTTTTGTTTGTGCTTGTTCATTATGTATGATTTGTGAGTTTATTGTTAATTCATTAATGATTTTTTCGACAGTGTAATGAATGGACAGCTTATAATGAGCCTTCCTTTGCCTGTTTGAAGATGAAGATGAAGATGAAGAACAAGCAAAAGGTTTAGGGTGATTCTACACCTACACAAACTCTCAAATTTCACCCACTGTTTGTTATGTACATTTGTTTTGTCTAATCATGTTTCTGTATTTGTGGATTTTCTGGTTTCTTGATTTTAGCTTTTACACTTCTGTCTTGTGTTCTAATTTAATAATAATAATAATGGTAATATATAACAGGGTCTTTCATTGGAATTCTAAGGGTGGGTTTCTTTATCCATAAAATTTTTGTCTTATTTTGTAGAATTATATTGGTAGTAAAGTAAGAATAAAATAAAAACAACTTAAATAATTTTATTAATAAGGTCCCAAAAATTAAAAAATGGATAGTTTATTAAGAGACCTATAAATATTATATTTAATATAATATAATAAAAATTTTAAATATAAAAATGTTTTAAAATTTTAAAATCTCAATCATAGTATTTACTAATGTAATTTGTATTTTTAATAAAATACAATAATTAAAAATTGTAAAATAGAAAATAAGAAACCAAAAATTTATAATCTATCCTGCAATAATAAATCCAAAGGCCAAATCTATCTAAGAATTTTGAATGATTTAGCTTTGTTTATACAAAATTTTTGAAATTTTTTGAAATATTAGAAAAAAGAATAAAAAACTAAAATTTTATTTTATTTTTAGCCAAAAAAAAAATAAATTTATTATGGTATTTTTCAAAAAATAATAGTGTCAAATAATAAAAATTGATTATGTGAATAGAACCTAAATTGATTGATTTATTTAATATTTGAAAATTATTAGGTGCTTAAAATGCGTAACGAATAATTAGTTGTTTCATTCGACCTACTCTTTAGGAACGAACACCAACACCAAACTATTTATGCTCTCTCTCTCTCTCTTCACCACCCGCCGTCGCTTCCTTCTTCGAGATCCAGCGCGCCTTCCTCGCCGGTAACCTCAAATCCGACGCCGGAAGTACGGATTCGCCGATATTCTGATTCGGAAGAAAGCTTGCACGCTGAGAGAGAAGCAGACCAAGGTTGGTTTGGCTTTCCTACGGCTAATACGATTCGCTTCCAGGTATGATCCGATCGGACGACCTTTCGCTATTCATGTATATTCGCCAATGGCGTATGGAGTTATAGCTTTGTTTGATTTGTGTTGAAGATCTGTGCTGTAATGCTAGGGTTTATGCTTGATATGCATATATATATAATTTTTTTAATTTTTAATGATTCTAGGGTTTTTGTAGGTCTTTTCGTTAGGTAATTGTTCGTAATGGCGGCGGCGGCGGCGACGGAGGCGACAGCTGAGCAACCAGTTTCTGCGCAAGTTGTACGTTTCCTTTTGTCGATATCTCGTTTTTCCGTTTATTTCCTGTAATGTGGATTGTGATTGCTAATGTTTAACTTGGCTTACAATTTTTGGGGGAGATAGGTTGGGAACGCATTTGTGCAGCAGTACTACCATATTCTGCATAACTCGCCGAGTCTGGTCCACAGATTTTACCAGGACATTAGTGTCCTTGGTCGTCCTGAGGAGGATGGCTCCATGAGCATCACCACCACTATGCAAGTAATCTCTCTCTCTCTCTCTTACTATATATATACTAATTTATCTGGGTGTGTGTTTGTGGCTGATTATGCCCTGCCTAATTGCAAATGGAGTAATGAACATAAATGGCAGGAATTTGTTGTGTTGATCACAATATTATGTTGTTTCTGTTATAATGATTTTGTTTCTTTATATATGATGTGCAAATGTTCTGTTGTTTCTTTCTGCACTGCAATTTAATCCTTAACTGTGGTTAGTTAAGGGGTTTCGGTGATTTAACTATTTATTTTTGTAATGGGTTTGGTGATTTCAACAGGAATTAGTATTCTAAAAATGATTTGTTTGAACAACTCCGACAGGCCATAAATGAGAAGATTGTATCACTCAACTATGGTGATGTCAAAGCTGATATTAAATCAGTGGATGCACAAGAGTCTCTTAACGGTGGAGTCCACGTTCTTGTAGCTGGCTATATAACGGGGAAAGAAAACACAGTTCAGAATTTCGCTCAAACTTTCTTCCTTGCACCTCAAGACAAGGGTTTCTTTGTCTTAAACGACATGTTCCGTTATGTGAATAATGTTGATGCAAATCCACCATTGGTTAATGGAGGTGACGCTCCTATTGCTGATGAGCAAAGTAAGCATTACAATTTTCCAAGATGTCCTAACCCTTTGTTGGTGATTTGCAATGTAATCGATTATGTGATTTCCCTTCTAGCATTGCCGATCCCTGCTCCAGTTGCGGAGAATGATGTCACCGAGCAAAGCACTCCATCACCGCCTGCTGAGGAAGCTGCCCCAGAAGTACAAGACCCTCCCAAGAGTGAGGAGGTTGGAAATGTCGAAGAAGTTCCTGTGGCTAAGGTCGATGAAGTTGAAGATGAGTCAGAGAGGGTTGCTGAATCTAGTGCCAAAGTAGAGGAAGTTCCTAAGAGGTCTTATGCGTCTATTGTAAGTGGAATTAGCAATTAAATAAGGTTCATCTAATAAATACTCCCTCCGTTCGGTAAACTTATCGTAATATTAAAGTGAGGTAGATAAATAATATGGTTCGTACATTGCCTGGTTATTGCACTTATATCTCTTACACAACTTTGCATGAAATGTGAGTGTTCATTAAGTTAATCTAATTGCCGAGTTTGATTCAAACGTGTTATGCAGGTGATGCGTCTCAAGGAAACTGCTGCGACCTTCTCGCCCCCTCCCCCTGCCCCTCAAAAAGCGGCACCTAAGAAAATTGAGCAAGTGAACACTACTTTGAACTCCACAAGCAATGGACCAGTTCTCAATTCGGACAGTGCTGATAATGGGAACATCCAAGAGGGTGAAGGCATGGATCTGGATTTTCTTTTAGTTTCTCGTGATGTATTACGTTGTAGAATCTGTTTTCTTGCTTCAATTATAATGTTCTGTAATTATTAATTGTGTAATCTTGACATCTATGCAGCAGATGGTTACTCAATTTACATAAAAGGCCTTCCAATGAATGCGACAGAGAAGTTACTTGAGGAAGTATTCAAAAAATTTGGGGCCATCAAGAAGGATGGAATTCAAGTTAGAAGCAATAGAGTATGTTATATTTGCTGATAGTTATTTTATGTGGAAAGTTGGATAGATTTTATGTATCTATTTAAGAACCATTGAATGTGGGATAGTAAACAATCGTATTTTTCTGCAGCAACAAGGTTTTTGCTTTGGCTTTGTGGAGTTTGAGGAGGCAAGTTCTGTGCAGAAAGCATTAGAGGTGCGTATGATTTTTACACATTATTTAACAAACAATCTTTTTAGTGTAGCTTCACCGAGCCATGGATGTGCAAATTGATGTGGAATTAGTTTTGACTCTATTTCAGTGTTCATCTCCTTGAATTTACTTCTTGCATTATAAGATAATCTGTATGGTGATTGAATCATAGGGTTCGATATTCCCTATGCTCATGCATACATGATATGTGTTATATAGCTCAACATCTAAATATAATGGAATCTAATGATCTATTAGGGATATGAATTGGAGAAGAAAATTCTAACTCAGACCATAATAGGTTTTTACAGTCATTCATTTCCGTGTTTTTACTCATAATTGTACAATATGTTGGTATTTCAGGCTTCTCCTGTGGCAATTGGTGGGCGCCATGCATTTGTTGAGGAAAAGAGGTCCACCAATTCTCGAGGCAAGTGACTGTTACTTTGAATTGAATACACCGAACATTTTTTATTTATTTTTTTAATTCATCAATCTCATTGATATTCAATTTCTATCATTTTTCCCTTTGACTTTGATCTTTATTTCCTTGCCACTCTATTCATAATCTTCCCCTTCCACCATTTATTTCCCAACAACCTCTTCAGTTTTCAGCCATCGAATCAATTTTCTACAGAAGCAGCAGCGATCTCATTGTTTTTGCATATGTGAAAGCATATCAGACTTATATTATAGTTTTTTACTTACAAATGATGATTATGGGATTAATTCGGATAATTTTCGTTGTCCAGTACTTACAACTCCTGGTCGTTTGCTTCGTTTTTTTTTTTAATTTTATAAAAACTGACGGCGAGCTATAGTGCTGGCGACATCTTCTGAATAAAAGTTTATTTGTATTATTCCCACAGGAAGTAACCGGGGAAGATTCCAACCAGGAAGGGGTTCAGGATACAGGACTGATGGAATGCGAGGTCGCGGAAGGGGTTATGGCAGAGGCGGCGATTTCAATGGCCGCAGTGACTTTGGCAACAGAGGCGGCAATCGCAGCAATGGTTACCACCATAGGGCTGATAACATCAGCAGCAATGGCGGGGGCGCGAGAAGTACTAGTACGGCGCCTCGAGTGCCGGCCACTGCTTAAAATAGGGGGGAGGTAATTTTTGGTATGGTTATTTGAGTTGAGTAATGACATTATATGATTTATTTGGAATATATATATGTAGTTAGAGTTTACTTTTTGGTTTGGTTTGGTTTGGTTTGGTTTGATGGATGGATGGGTTTAGTTTTGATCACGTTATTTGTTCCCACTAGTATTGTTTTGTGAGTGAGCGAGCGAGTTACGGTATTATTATTATTATTATTATTATTATTATTATTATTATTATGTCATCACTCACTAGGGTAGGAGGTGGGGTGAGGTGAGGTAGTAGTAGTAGTAGTAACGAGGCAAAGCATTTTTGAACCTTTTTATTTTTATTTTTATTATTATGATTTTTTAAATGGTATTTTGATGGATTGATTGATTCGATTATATTCGATTTTAAATGTCTTTTATTTTATGGAGTGAGCGTGGCTACACTGCTGAATATAAAATGATATACAATATGTTAATATCATATAAATATAGTATATGTTATAGTTTTATATAATTGATTTTCACATATGTATATATATTTTTAATTTTTTTTTTCAAAAGAAACATAACATTGAATCCATATTTATATTAGGCCAAATACTATAAGAATTTAACTGTTTACAAAATTTGTCTAAATAAAGCCTAGTGCCCTATTTCAAAAATTGATATCACTATCATTCATAACTTTTCTTTCAAAACTATTAAATTGAATATTTATTTTTTATTTAAAATATTACACAAAATATTTATTTGTATTATAATTATTAATCATATTAATATATGAATAACAACTAAAAATATTAATTATAATTATTTATAACTATTATATATAATATTATATTATAATAATATATATTTATATAGTCATATGTATGTACGTGTATATATATATATATTGTGGAAAGAGAGACGGGAGATAAGAAGTATACATATTTATAGTAGCGACATTGGCAAATGCATGACTTTCAATCATGCCATCCATTTCAATACACGTGTACCATTCATTTACAACAATAATCAAATTTTATTTAATTTAATTTTTTACTATCTCTAACTCCCATCCAAATCAAATTTTATTTAATTTAAATTTTATACTATTTCTAACTTAATTCCAAACAAAGATACCCAACATTTTTAGGCTTGCTCTACAAATATTTTTTGGTTAAAGTAGGTGATGTGAATGAAAAAACCTTTATTTCTTAAAAATTTGATTTGATTTTTTCGTTCTATTATACTATCACTGTAATCTTCTATAATAATAAAATATTTTCTTTGAACCACCAAAAAAATCAAAAAATCAAATTCCAAAAAAAATCATATTCAAATTACAATCGCCAAAATGAAAGCCCAAAAAAAAAAAAAATTGAAGAATGGCCCAAAAGCACATTTGGACTCTGCGCATCAGTAAGAATATTAATAATACTGTTTTTTTTTTTTTAAAAGAAATATATCTAAAATAAATTATTGTCATTAATTAATTTTAATTACACACAAAACCCTGTCATCAATGTTAATAATTAATTTTAAAAAGACTTATAATTAATTTTAATTTTACTGGTGCAATAAAAGAAATTTAATAAATTCCAATATAGTAAGTATAAATATACTAATAAATACACCTGCAATAATAGTGCATTGATTATATATAGTAATAACAAAAAGGCAAGTCTAATCATTTCACTGATAATATATATATATATATATATATTTTATTGTAAATATATAAAAGTGGAAATAAATTTAAAAATTCACCTACTCACACATTAATTGGTCCCTCTTAGTTACTATTTGTAAAAATTGTAATAATTACACTTACACATACCTTGTATTAAGAAAAATATTTGAAATTTAAATAAATAAAGTTGTAATATAAATGCAACCTAATCTCTAATAAATTTAGGGATTAATTTTCTTACCATTTAAAATTCAAATCAATGCTATTTATTTTGGATAATTTTTAAGAAAAATATAGTAATATTCATAAAATATCGCATTAAAATTTATTGTTTCTTTTTGTGGAATTTTCCATTTTTTTACAATTTAATTATTTTTTATTTTTAATTTATATTTAAAATATTATATTAATACGTATTTATATCACATCAAACAATTATTTAAATTTTAAATATTCTAGTAAAAAATCCAAATTCAAAATCCAAATCCTCAACTAACATGATTGATTTTTATTATTTTTTACTATTCAAATATTATAATAGTTCATGATAATATATAAAATATTATATTAAAATATCATATAAACTAAAATTAAAACACAAAATCCAAATAAAATCTCGTGAGTGATAATTTTTTTAAAAAATATCAAATTAAATACATACTATTATTTATTTATTATATACATATTGAAATCAAATTTTAATTTCAAATATCACGTCAATACATATTTAATATATCACAATCAAATGAATAATTTAATCTAAAATTTGACCATTCAAAACCTAAATCTAAAATTCAAACCTTACAACCAAAAACACCACCCTATTAACAAACACTATATTATTAAAATTAATTTTAATTAATTAGATATTGAGCGTTTTTTTTTCTAAAAAATAATTATAGTATTTAATATTTTATTTTCTTATAAAATTTTAAATCTAACACTATTTTTTTACACATATATTACATTAGTAATTTTTTAAGTTAAAAATTATCCAAAAAATAAAATAAAATAAAAAATTAATAAACAAAAGAAGACACTCACATATTTTCAATTCAAATAACATTGTTATGATGAAACAAATAAATACTTATATTGATTTACTACTTCAAATCCATTCATCGTATTATCAAACTGTTGTCAAACTTACAATAAATTTCAATTTCAATATATGATAGGAATGTCATAGTTTTACGTAGACTTATTCGAACCTGATTGTATAATTTGTATTAATTAAATATTTAAATATATATTGAAAAAAAAAAAAAGAGAGAGAGAGAGGAATGAGTATTAACAATATATATACAGAGACATGCATGCACATGCATACGTAAAAGTTATTAACACACACATATATTATAAAATTTTGGTCGTAAAAACGAATTCAAGATCTGCTGATCGATAAATAAATTATGCTGATTCATTAAATTACGTAGTGACGATCTTTGTTTATAATATCACGGTATGTTACAGGATGCTTTTGAAAAAGAAAACAATTGATTGATACATTTTATCGATCATATTTTTGTCTTTTAAATTGATAATGATCGGTATACTTTTTATATCGGGATTAATAATATATTTTGTCACTTTGATGTCTACGCTATTCGATAAAATTAAAGCAACTTATTCAAATTTCCTTTTATACGTGCAAGTTTAATAATGCCATGCTCAATAATATATTAATATTTATGAAATTATGTTAACTTTAAGGTTTGTTGGCTTAATAATTATGAAAATATGTTTGTTTGGCTAATAATTTTTTTCGATACGATTCTCAATATATATTTTATCATTTCATAAAAGTCAATATTTAACATAAAATAGTATTTTCTTTATATTATCGACATAATTCTCTATAACTAAAAAAAAAAAAAATTTAAAATCAAAACACTTAACAAGCAAACTTTTTTTTTTTATTATTTTTTTTTAAATTTATTGATTGTTGGATGCAATATTTCAAATGAAATGAGTGTTAAAAAAAGTAATATTTTTTTGATAAAAAATTAGATTTTAAATAATAAAAATATGCATAAATTAACGTACTTACTATAAATCGTGCTCGTTGTCAAATGTAATAATATTTTTAATATTAATTAATATAAATTAATCTACTCAGATTCTTCCGGCATGACTCGCCATTAATTATTGTTGCTTAAATTATTTGAAATGAAAAAAATAAAATATTATTTCCGTATAATAAATTAACGGCGTAATAATGTTGATAATTCTCCGTAACGATTCACTAACGGCAAACTTATCTGTCCGCCTATAAAATCCACCGAGTCTTGCTTCTCGAAAGGCCGCATTGCATTCAGAGTCATACCTAATTCCTCTCATTTGCTTTAGCAAAAACATAAAAGCAATGGCCGAAAAGTTCAATCTGAACTGCCCTCCCGAAGAAGAGTGTGAACACGAGGAATTGGATTTGACGCTCCGACTAGGAGGGCCATATGGAGAAGTAAAAAAGCCTGAGGAGTCAAAGGGCACAACTCATAACTTGGTAGGCAATGTGGGAGGTGCACAATCTTCCTTGGGAAAGGTATATTTTATAAATCTTCGTAGTACTACGGTAAAATAATATTTTTTTACTCAGATCTGATAAGAAACCATCTGTTATCTCATGTGATTAAAAAAACTACGTAAGATCTGTTTGTGTTTTGTAAAACTCAACGTATAAACTTCATCGATCAGTTAAAGTTTACTAGAGAATACATCTCACGTGGTAGGAGTGCAACTTACACGGGTCGATCTGTTTAGTCGAGCAAATAGTCTCGACTACAGCCCTTACACGTGAGATATATTCTCTATTCAAATAGATCTAATCTTATTTCTTAAACACAAGGAATGATTAAATCTAATAACATTTTTTAGGAAGTCTTAATCAAATGACTACAAATCGGTGTGAATATTGTTGTTGTTATGCTCAATCCAACTAATGCTTTTATTTGTAGGGCAACATTTCAAAACTCATAGGGAATTCATCCGGGATTGGGGAGATTTCCGGTGGATCTACAATACAAACAACTACTTTTGCGCCACCAATTGGCACTGATCCCATCCGCTCAACTCTTTTACCGTTCCATCAAGAATTTGTGGCCAATCGCAATATGTCCCGCAAGAGACCTATCTCCGATATTCATGACGAAGATGAGACTAAGGCTTGCGATGCTTGTGGGAAGAGTGAAACTCCTTTGTGGCGTAGGGGCCCCGAAGGAAGAGTATGATCTATTCTCTTCTATATCGATTAAATCTAAAATTATAAGATTAGGATTACGATTATTCTAATGCAATGTCTTCACTTTGTTTGTAGAGTTTATGCAACGCTTGTGGCTTGCGCATGTCCCGTGCCAACAAACGCAATTGAGAGGAGATTGGTGTTGTTCCGTGAAGCCGTGATCGAGTGTTGGATGCATTATCGTTTTATTTTGCTTATTTTGTTGAATTCTCTACAAGTTTTTCTCGTTTTGTCGAACAATGGAAGTTAGATGTTTGTGATGGACAATGGCACTATGGTTGCCATCTTTAATTATATTTTCAATTGCGATTTGTTGCTAATGATATTTGGTTTACCTCTAGTACGTTCTTTTTATTTTTTTCCGTTTGATGAATGTGTTATATAATTGTAGATTGGCTCTATAAGCCAACACAAGTCTTTCAAGCTTGCTTAGGCCTTATTCATGTGT